AAGCTATGGTCCCTTTAGTCATCAATTATTGAATGTTCAGTTCTACTAATGACTTGAGTCAGATCTATTTACCCAGAGTATATAGTTTATAATTAATAATCAGCCCTTGCATTGCCCTAATGCCTCTGTCTCTAAGGACCAGGTTGAGGGTGTGCTTCCAGCTGTACATCATTAGCAGGAAGTCGGGAAAGGTTAGCCTGGACAGCCTCCACCCTGCCGATGAAGAGGAGCTGTTCAGAGGCTGCTGACTTCCTTAGAGAGGCAAAGAGGGTGCCGTCGAAAAGAAAGGCAGAGGGAATGGGCTGGGGCTTGCAAAAATTGGAAGATTTCTTCAAGGAAAAATTAAATGGTGCCAAGACTACATTAAGAGAGCCTACCTTATAATAAAATTGTTGAGGTCTCAGGGTGAAATCTGACTGACGAACCAGCCTACTCTGCACGTCTCCTGCTGGGTAATTGTGGGAGAGCCCTTGCATACTCCTGAATTCTTCTGTATTAGCTGATCAAGCAGACGTTTTCTGTGCCCTCTCCTGGCTTGACTTTGAAACTGCAGAACGTGACAGTCTTTAAACTTCACTGGGTGGGTCTTCTCTTAGGTCAATTCGAGTTCTGCCCTCCCTTTCTCATTTTGAACTTGAGAGAGACCAAGAGGGTCAATGATCTTGGTGTCTGAATAAAAGTGGTCAGATTTATCAGGCTTCAGGTGTCCGTGCGATAAGCCGAATAGAGAGTCTAAACCAACCAATCTCATGTTCAAATCGTGCATGTTCTTACCTTCTGTTATTGGGGATAACTCCGTGGGAGCGTGTAAAGTATTCCCTGAGGCGTTGCTGGGTGTGTAAGTTTATAGGTAAAAGAAGTGGGAGAGTGAAGATTTAGACAAGCTTTGATCAACTGCGGGGACAATTTTGTGGGGATCCTGCTGTGCACACACTCGTGATAAAAGTATTCTGAACACACTAAAAAATACCTGTATTCTTCTTTAGGGCCAAGGAACAAGGAAGGTAAAGGTACATGTCAGGTCTGGGGGCGGCTGGCGTTGCTGCACGATCATTCCTGAGCCTGTGCAAGCACGGACACGTTCAAAGTGCTGACTCCTCCTCTGGAACCCTTGCATCATGCACTAGGCCAGAGGGAATCCAGCAGACAGCAGAAACGTCGCGGTATTTTCCTCACACTCTTTGGCTCTCACAGTTTTTTGGCTGAAATAGTAATCTCCGCAGAGCTACTCTCCGCAGCTTCCAGAAGATCTGTTCAATCATTCACTTGCTCACCAAACATTTATTATTATTATTATTTTTTTAACAAGGCACTGCACTGAAAAGTCTGGCTCAAAGGATGAAGCAACTATTGGAACTTACAGTTAATTAGAATGGTGCTTTAGAGTCTTTATTCTGTTAGGGTACACAGAGAAAATGATACAGTTTGTATGTCCTACTGAGGTAAACCTGGGGGTGGGAATTTAGGGGCATTTGTATGTGTTTTGGTAAAAAATGGTTAATTCTATTTTCTACATATTGTATAATTATGATTTGAAACATAAAATGAAAGTATTAGAGACAGCATTAAATATTGAGCTTACACAAAATTTCTAAATAAAATATTTTCAAAATTTTAGCTTTCTTCAGTGAATGTAACTTCTTAATATGAGGTTTTATGCTTGAAATGGCTATATGTAGTAATGACCAGGACTTTTGAAGGAGGGTCGCTTCAAGCTCTTGACAGCCGTGAATGACTGGAAACTCAACTGGGTAATAACAATGTCAAAATTTTTAACATTAAGAAAATCACAGAAGTTAACATATTTGAAGAAATACCTTATTTTTTTTTCAGTAGCAATTGTACAATTGAAATAGCTTACGATAATTTATTCGATTTTGAATCCAATCCAAATCATGTCGAGTATTTGAAAATAACATCACTCTGATTTCAAACATGTTCCTTCAGCTTTGACATCCCCTTGGTACGTACTGCTTGTTCACTGTTTATGGCCAGCTGCACTCTGTTCTGATTGGCCAATGTCTGTGCCAGCTCAGGTGTTGAGTATTTTTAATATCCCCCTGCCCAGAAGTATTGTTAGAACAATCGCCCTGAAGTTAGCTTGGACGCCCCTTGGGCACCAGAAAAAAATGGGTGGGAACACCTGATAATTCGTGAAGGCAGAGTCGAGTCAGCCATCTGGGGCTGCCCCGGCCGGACCCCCCGCCCGCCTCCTCGCCCCTTCACTCTGCACCTTGAGAGGCCACTCTTCCTCCCTGGGCTCCTGGGACCCAACTCCTCCAGCAGGGCCCCAGGCCCTTGTCCGTGATGTGCAGTAGTGCGCTCGTTAGCTGGCCTCTGAGGTGGAGGTGCAGGTGGGGACACACGGCAAACAGAAAATGACACTGACCCTGCTGTGTACTCGTGGGGATCGCAGGGCAGGATGTCAGACTCTGCTGCACTGGGATCGCCCAGAGGCGACTGGCCCAGCTCGTGGCCCCCTCGGGCCACGGGATCTGTAAGCTGTGTCCCCCTTGTAACCCAGTTTGCACTACGCCAGTGTGCTATGACCACTGGTCAGGGCCCTCTGCAGTGGAGGAAATAAAACATACAGTGACAACCAAGAGCTACCTGCTATTTAACAATGTGTGCCTTACGGTGCTCTCCCACAGCAGCCCTCATTTAATCTTCCTAAGAACAACCAGGAAGCACTATTATCCCGTTTTACAGAATAGGCAGTAGGTTCGAAAGGGTGAGTCCACACTTTCCGGACAGGGTGCCTCAGGGACGTACGCGTTGGTGGGCTGAGTTCAACGATTAGGTATTGGAGTGACAGCTTGACTTGAAAGTTTTGGGGGACAATTTAAGTGGTAAATAATATAAAATATTTGTATGCTAAAATAGGTATGTGTTATGAAATTGATTGAAAACTTTCCACAAATTTGCAAGATCAAACATGAAACTTCGAAGAAACATTGTACTTTAACAGCAGGCATCTTTGAACCATGCAACACCCACCTCCCGTTCTAGATCTGTGCGAATGGGGAGGACTTCTCTCTTCTGCTATCAATGACTGAGATACACTGATTTAACCTTTCCTCCCTGATTTCAGATCCCATACTTATCCTAAGTAGGAAACTGTTAAGGGTTCAAGAGAGTTTCAGAGCGGTTCAGGGCTCAGCTGAACATTGGGCATGCGGTGCTGGGAGCTGAGGAGAGAGCCTTCCAGGCAGAGGGTGTGGCATGAGCAAAGTCAGGGGACAAGAGAGTGGGGCTGTGGAAGGTGAACAATGGCCGGAAGGACAAGAACCTGAAGATGCGTAATGGGAAATACGATTAGGAAGGCGGACTGGCTCCAGGAAATGGGATCTGGCAGAGAAGTCTATGTGATACTGGCAGTGGAGAGACCGAGCTAGAAAGCTGGAGGTGGGAAGGCCTGAACCGTGCGCAGCAGCAGAGGAGAGGAGGGGAGGGTTTGCACGCAGGGAGCCGTCAGGACTTACCGGAGGATGGGGCAGCGAGCAGGCGCCAAGACGGAAGTGGGCAGTCACTGGCGGAAGTTGACAGCCCACCTGAGGTGCTGTCAAAACATCCAGGTGGGGAGTGAGCAAATGGGCGACTGGAGTCCAGGGCTGAAGCTTGGGTTGTGAGTTATTTGCCTATAGGTGAAAACTGTCACCTTGAGGTCACATAGGTGTAAGGAGAGCAGGGGCACGCAGGGTCAGAGATGCCACCTGAGGAGTTTCACAGACAGGAGTGTTCAACAGTAGCAAATCATGGAGAGAAGTTGGAGTCATTGTCACTTAGTGCCTGGCACATGCATTAGGGCTAAATATTTATGAGAAGAATAAAAGAAAAACCAAGAGTAAGAAAATGATACATTCAGGACAAGCAACATGAAAGAAACAGTAGTAGAATCGGGGCACGGGGTGTTAAGAGAATAACCAAGAGATCATTGCATTTGTTCCAGTAAATCATTGCATTTGTTCCCGTAAATGTGGGGACCTACTTCCGACACAACCTCTTCCAACCCTGAATATCTGTTACTGACCATTAGGAAACTTTGCTCTGCCCTGCAGATTGGAGGCTGGGTGGGGTAGGATTTAGTGTGTAACTTTCCTGTAAAGGTTATGATTTAATGCACATTAGCGCTTTTCACATTCAATCTCAATCTCTAGAGATTAAAAAATATATAATATCACCAAGTGGCTCACATAACTTCATTACAAATCACTTCCTTTTCCCCATGAATCACTTCCTTTTTCCCATGTGGCTTTCCTCTCCTTAGAAATAAAGAGGACTGCAGACTAGTGGGCTTGCCTGTAATCCTTTTTTGTATTAAAAAACATATTTTATTTATACTTAGAGAGAAGGGAAAAGAGGGAGGAGGGAGAAGGGAAGAGAGGGAGGAGAAAGAGAAGGAGAGAAACATTGACGTGTGAGAGATACAGTGATCAGTTGCTACTTACAAGCCCCCAAATGGGGACCTGGCCCACAACCCAGGCATGGTCCCTGACTGGGATTTGAACCAGTGACCTGGTTTACAGGCCAGCACTAGCCCACTAAGTCACACCAGCCAGGGCCTAATTCCTTTTTAAAAAAGTTTATTTAGAAAGACTTGCAGCTTCCTGAGAATCCTACCTAGACATTTCTTGATGCATTATTTTTTTAAAAAATGCATTTCTAATTTCTCTCTTTTAGAGAAAGTTCTTTTCAAGTCTTTTGGGTTAAAAAAAATATGTCTCTGAATAGGAAAAGAAGCTGCCAAGGGCCTTGGGAGGTGCAGACACACCTGGACAGTTCGGGTAGGTGAGCAGGGAGCCCCTGGCCTGGCTTTTTACTGATCAAAGAAGCCAGAGGCCGAAGTCCAGACAGGGGTGTCGGGAGAGAACGGCCGGGTCCCTGGGCCCCTCCCCCGCCCCTGATCCACTGGGCGCCCCTGCCCTTTGAGCCCGGCGGCTCCGCTGGCAGCAGCAACCTGGCTGCTGTCGGGGACGAGCCAGGTCAGGCGGGTGGGCAGCATGCTGCGGCTGCTGGCGACCCGCTGCGCCCGGGGCCCGGGGGCCGGCGGGGCCGCGCGCCCTGCCGCGGGGCTCTCTGACCGCTGCCGCAGCCCCAGCCGCCAGGCCTCCGACACCCCCGGTAACCTGCCCCCCAACTCCGATGCCGTGGCCCGGCCGGTGGGCGTCTGTTCCATGATGCGGCTGCCGGTGCAGACCTCCCCTGAGGGGCTGGATGCCGCCTTCATCGGGGTGCCCCTGGACATTGGGACCTCCAACCGGCCCGGGGCCAGGTAAGGGCCCAAGGACTCAGGGACACGTGGCTGGAGAGCCTGAGGGCCACCGGGTACGGACGCCGCACAGGCGCCTCTGCTCACCCCGAGTCAGGTTGGAAGCTGGTTCCTGGCTCCAAAGTGCCCCTAATCCTTTGAGAACTGACTTCCCTTTTTTTTCACCAAGCAACGTGGAGGGCTCAACACGTGTGGCATCCACCGGTAAAGAAAGGGTTCGACGAGGGGAGCCTTTCCACTCCTGCTCCCTGGGGCCTTGCTGCTGGGGTGGAGGCTGGGGGGGGGGGGTCTCCCTAGCGTCCAGGGGCGGGGCACATTTGAGGACAGAAGAAGCTGGCTGCCCCTTCCCAAAGCTCCTAGATGTCACCTGCTTCAAGAATTGCTCAAATTAAGGCAATTTTCCTAAATTCAAGTCAGGGGAGTAAAACCCACTTTCCTAATTATTGAGCTTTCAGCTATTTCTGATGAAACTCAGCAACAATACATCTGACTACTGGTCTCAATGATAAATGGCATGATTTATTAAATGTCTACTAAGTGCAAGGCACTGTGTATAGAGAATCTTATTTCATTCTTACAACAATGGGGTAAGGTCAATATTAGTATCATTTTACAGATTAGGAAAGGGAGGCTCAGGGAGATTGAATTATCCAATACCATTTAGTAATTTCGTGATGGGTAGGCTCCTACATCTGTGCCTTGCGTCTCCAACATGTAACCCAGCACGGTGGTTCTGGACCAGGGTTATTTTGCCCCCAAGGGACATGTGGCAGTGTCTGGAGGCATTTTTGGTTGTTAGAATTTGGGGGGAGGGGGGCTGCTGGCATCTAGTGGGGAGAGGTCCGGATGCTGCTAGACATCCCACAATGCTCTAGTGGCCCCTATAACATCCAGCTCCCAGTGTCATCATTGCAGAGGCTGAGAAACCCCTACCCAGGCAAGGCCTCTAAGCCTTTAGGGATGCGCACAGGATGTATCTTCTTCCAGATTCGGACCCCGACGGATCCGGGAAGAATCAGTGATGCTTCGGACGGTCAACCCTAGCACAGGGGCGCTCCCCTTCCAGTCCCTCACGGTTGCAGACCTAGGCGACGTGAACATCAATCTTTACAACCTTCAGGACAGCTGCCGCCTAATTCAAGAGGCCTATCAGAAAATTGTAGCCGCGGGCTGTGTTCCTCTGACCTTGGGTAATGGCATCTGCAGGGGCAACCGCAGGTCGCTGAGCTCAGGGATTATTTACCATCGGTTGGCGTACAGCTACTTCTCCAGAGCAAGCCACTGTGAATGTGGAGACAGCAGGATAGAGAACATTATTTTTTTTTTCCTAATAGTTAATTTATTTTTTTAGAGAGAGGGTAAGGGAAGGAGAAAGAGAGGGAAAGAGACATCGATGTGCTGTGAGAGAAATATTGACCAGCTGCCCCTTGCACGTCCCCAACTGGGGACCTGGCCTACAACCCAGGCACGTGCCCTGACCAGGAATCAAATCAGTGACCTTTCGGTTTGCAGGCTGGCGCTCCATGCACTGAGTCATACCAGCCAGGACGAGAACATTATTAATTCATGTATTCTCACCCCTCAGGAGAAGATACTTAAATGCTCGGCTAGTATGACAGGCAGGGTTGGACTAGGAAGAGGCAAGTAAGGCATTCGCCTCTATGCAAAATTTAAGGGGTGCCATAAAGTGAACGGTAGGTATTACTGATCTCCCCCTTTTGCCTTGGGCTCCACTATGGCTCAGAACAACACAGTTACTGGTCCCATGTTTCTTTAAAATTTATCTTTAAAAATTTTTTTTACTTTGAGGGTATGTTTGCTAAAGCTGGGGACAGTGAACCAAGGAAGGGCTTAGCACAGAAAAAAAACAGCATGGGAGTGCCTAGGCGGGGCTGCTTTGGCTCACTGGGAAGTCAGAGGAACGGGCCTAGGTTCCGCTAGTTAGCTCCAGACGAGATGCCCCGCTGCCGGCTGCTCCGCTGGCTCCTTAGGGATTAGGAGACGCACCTCTGAGAGGCAAGGAGGATGTGGGCCTGCTTCCGAGAGGGAGGGCACGCCTGTCGTGGATTTTTTGCGTGACTTTTTTAAAAAGAGTATTTATCTTGATGGCTGATTTTTTTTGACATCCCTTACATTTTGCGTCCCCCACCTCACGCACTTCACCTTTGTCCCAGCCCTGGGCCCCTCGCCCGGAGAAGGCTGCCAACAGGGGCTCAGCGTGACTTTTGAACTCTTTCAAGGGCACTGTGTTAGTGACTTTGAGGGAACCACGTAGGGTGGTTTCCTCCTTTTCAGGGTCCGTGTCAGTGCTGCTTTCCCCTCCCCCTCCCCCACCCCACCCACTCTGACTGGGTCACAAATAGTTAAAATGGTAGAGACCTTTTTTCTAAATAGCACATTTATTTTTGCCAAAATAGAGAGCCTGGCTTGCAAAGCATAGCGGTTTCTGGATGGCCTGGTTTGAAATCTCAGCTCCACCTCCCACCTATTCATGCCTCATTTCCTCATCTGTAAAATGGGAATAATAGTAACAGCACCTACCACATTTGATTGTGTGAGGGACCTATAATGAAAATGCATACAGAAGGCCCAGCATTGCGCTTGGCTTATTTTGAGCGTCAATAAATGTTAGCTATTATTATAATAGTTAGGCATAGCAATACTTTGCTAGGTCTGTGCTGCTAAATACAGTAGCCACTAGCTGCACGTGGCTGTTTAAATTAAAATTAATAAAAAAAAATTTTTTTTAGATTTTATTTGTTTTCAGAGAGAGGGGAAGGGAAGGAGAAAGCGAGGGAGAGAAACACTGATGTGTAAAAGAAACATCAATCAGTTGCCTCTCGCATGCCCCTCAACTGGGAATCCAGCTCGCAACCCAGGCATATGCCTAACAGCGAACTGAGCCAGAGACATTTCGGTTTGCAGGTTGGCGCTCCACCTATGAAGCCACAACAGCCAGGGCTAAAATTAGTTTTAAATTAATTTAAATTATTATTTAAGTCATTATTAAGTTATGAATTTTATTGGTTTAAATAAAAGAAAAATTTCAGCTCCTCAGTTGCATGAGCCCCGTTTTAATAGCCACATATGATGAGAGGCCACCATGCTGGCCAGAGCATTTGTAGAATTATGTGCATCGCTGCAGAAAATTCTATCGGACAGAGCTGTTTTGGGCATTTTACCTGGAAGCCCTCATTTGTTTAATTTCTTCTTTTAAATGACAGTGTAATTCCAAACACCTAGTGTCCCTTTCCCCATTGAACAAAATCTTATTTTAGCTGGGGTTGTAGTTCTTTAGCCTCACAGAAAGCGGGGCAAATGGGTCAAATTGAAGACTGTTCTACGTCACACACAGCTGTCTCGTCTTATCCGTATTCCAGAGGTTTTCTTCTTATTTCTTTTTGCAGGTGGAGATCACACAATCACCTATCCTATATTGCAAGCCATGGCGAAGAAGTAAGTCCCAAATGTCTGGGCCCAAGCAAGGTTTCAAAACTTGGGAGCTTGGGAATAAGTTGTTTGTTGCTAGATGGCATCAGATGACCTCTGCTGGCTCAGACTACTGGGGGTGACAGGAACTTCCCAATCGAGTTGCTTCTGTGGACCAAAATTAAGGTCGGGCTCCAGGTGTCTCTGTCAGTCACCGGCTAGAAGACAAGACTATTATTAACACCCCAGGGCAGCCTCCCTTGCCCTAGGTCGGCTCCGGTATGCACGCTCAGCACTGGCCTCTGGGGGAAGATGAACCCCTGTGAAATACACAACCCCTGTTAACTTGTTTCTGTGTCGCTCAAAGGCAAAACCCAAAAACACACAGAGGCCCTGGCTTTCTGCTGCAAGGGCCCCTTTCCCAGAAAAGCTGGGAGCCGCTGGCTTTTACAGTAGCAGAAGTCTACCAGGGATAACTAACTTTGGCGAATTAGTTTGGGAGGGAGACAGATGGGCCAAGTTGGTGGCAGCTCCAGCATTTATAGATGAGAAGGATGTGTAGGTAGAATTCCAATCTGGGGCCGGTTGGTACAAAGCTGTGTTTGCCTCGCGTTGTTTTGGATTGTAGGTTTCTTTTGGTTGGCTAGCAGGGTTGATGGAGATTATGGCGAGAGAGCGCTAGGTGTCCAAGCTGCTTCTGGGTGCCACGGCTGGAGAAAGGGTGGCTTTGATTAGTTCAGCTGAGCTCACCCTTCGTTGTCACCCACCCAGCTCTCTCCATCTGGAAGAAGAAAATTCTGGGTGGTAGGTAGTGGGTGGCAGCTAAAGCACAGGCCTATTTTCAGCCTGACTTCTCTGAGTGTATTGCTCTGAGATGCTAAGTCTTTTGAAGACAGAGACCAGCAGGGCCTGTGACTGATGCCAGGTCTCCCCTCGTTGGCTATGAACTGTCATAAAGTTTCGGGGGCTTGGAGGGCGGCTGTGCTCAGCCCTTGTAAAGAGGCCCGGCCTCTGAGCCGCCCCGCTGTCCTCAGGCACGGCCCAGTGGGGCTGCTGCACGTGGATGCTCACATGGACACGGCTGACAAGGCCCTGGGAGAGAAGATCTATCACGGGTCGCCCTTCCGCCGGTGTGTGGACGAGGGACTTCTGGACTGTAAGCGCGTAGTACAGATTGGCATCAGGGGCTCTTCCATGACATTGGATCCCTGCAGATACAGCCGGAGCCAGGTAATAGACCGAACGCCCCTCCCTCTGTTTCCTGCCTGCAAAGTGCCTTCCTCTCCTTTGCTCACTCAGTGGCGGCTACGGATTCAACAGGGGCTTTAATAATCATGTTCAGGAATCGGGGGTGGGGGGGAGAAAGGCTGAGTTTGCACCCAGGGGGTCATGCGGAGCAGAGAGGAGCAAGGATGCTGGTTCATGAGGCCAGGAGGCCTCTCACTGCTGCGGTGGGGAGGCGAGCAGGAGCGAGCCAGCCCCTGGGTTGTCGCTGGCCAGGAAAAGAGCTGCGGGTCCACCCCCAAGGCAGGTGGCCGCCTTAGTTCTCACCTTCGCAACTGCTGAGCAGAGTGGCTCCCAGGTGAACACAGAAGGCAAGACCCAGCAGGGATGGCTCAAGGTCCCCTGCAAAGGCCAATCTTCTGGACAGGGCTGTTCACGAAGCGCTAGCACAAGCCGTCCTGAGCGTCTCTCTTGCTTGAACCACGCTTCTCTCTGATCCCGTCTCCAGAGGTCGGCTTTGACTTTCCCCTGCTTTACCCATCGTGGTCACTGTCCCTCCCTTCCTCACCTGTAAAATGGGGATGATAGTTCCCTCCTCATGAAGGTTTGGGGTCCAATGGGATGTGCGCAGAGCCTAGCATGGGGTCGGCACGTAGGAAATGCCCGGTAAATGCTGCCATGCAGGCGTCTTGACGGCCCGCTCTTGGACGGCTCCCTCCTCAGGGCTTCCGGGTGGTGCTGGCTGAAGACTGCTGGATGAAGTCGCTGGTTCCTCTGATGGCCGAGGTGAGGCAGCAGATGGGAGGCAAACCCATTTACATCACCTTTGATATTGATGGCTTGGATCCTGCCTATGCCCCAGGGACGGGGACACCTGAAATTGCTGGTCTCACCCCAAGTCAGGTAAGGAGGCTCCACCAGTGACCATACCTGGAGGGAGGGGGGAGGATTTTTAACTCCCTGTCTTCCTGGGCCTTGTGGCGAGTCTTCAGGAACCAGGATAGGATTCTACAGGCAGAGCATGTAGGCCTTTCCTGTTCTCATGGCCGCCGTCGGTGTGAATACTTACTGAGGACTGGGTGCTTTAGCCTTATCTGGGACATCATCGTCCTCCATCTGATCTTCCTGCTGCTGCTCCATCCACAGTTGGTTCATGGGGACAATACTGTAGTACCCCCTCTTAAGGACACTGATCTTTTGGGGGTTAAATTTGAAAAGTACGCACACTGGGATTAACCCGCTACCAAGGGAGTTTGCATTTTAGAAATACCCAAATAACCTCCTATTGGCTGTGCTGAGTGTAACATGGGGAGGCAGAATTGGAGTGTGGCTATGACGAGAAGGTAAGCGCCAGGAGGCTAGCGCCTCTGGTTCACTACCCAATGCTTGGAGCCCAGAATAGTGCCTGACCTAGAAACTGCAGGTGCTCGAAGATTGTTCATTGTGAAGAAATGAAGACTGCTTAAACGGCATGAATGATCTCATATCCTCTATGAAAGGATGGTCATAACTACTGCTTCCAAGCCATTTTCAGTTCCCATCAGAGGGCTTTCTAGAACACAATCCTCATCCCTCAGTTTGTCATCCTTCTGGGTGTTTCATCTGCCCAATGGAAACTCCTTGGGACAAAGCAGTTCTTACTCCCAGCCCCTCGCTTATCCTGTCCGCCGGCCACGCCCAGCTACGGGTGCCTCGATCATGGTGCCTTTTCCCTCTACCTGGGCTGTCCTTTCCCTGCTCATCTGCTTGGGCAATTTCTGGAGCTCAGTGTGTCCACCTTGGGGAGGACTTCCCCCGCCTCTGGGGGCCGTCACATGCTCCTATCCTGTTCTCCGCTTGCTTTTCTTGAAGTCCTCCATACACGACTTGGAAATGATTGGCTTGCTTTATCCCGTCACTGCACTGTGGAGCCCTTAGGAGCAGGGACTGTGCCTTGGTCATTTGTGATGCCTGCCAGTATGCCTGGCAGTCAGTGAATATTTACTGAGGGAAAGCCAAACAGTTCCAAGTCAAAAGGTGGGCACGTGTTGGGAGAAATCCACCGAGGCCGCTACCGGTTGCTTCTCACCGTTAATGATTACCGCTGTGGCTTGATTGCGGACAGGCTCTGGAGATCATTCGGGGTTGTCAAGGCCTGAACGTGGTGGGTTGTGACCTTGTGGAAGTTTCACCGCCATACGATCCTTTTGGTGAGTAAACAAGAAGCCTGTGACCCGCAGGCAGTGGCTAGTTTAAACTATATTAACCTAGTTAATAGGTAGCGGGTGGATGGGTCCTTCTGGGTAACTCGGAAACCTGAAGATGTCCTACAGTGAAGAAAATAAGCCTATTATCGCACGCCTTACAACCACAAGCTAATGAGCACTAACAAAACCCCGGGGAGGTCGCCAAGCACTGTTAGCCTGCCCACCAGTCAGCAAAAGAAACCAACCTGCAGTTTAGTGACAGCGTGGCTCTCTGCCATCGTCCTGCTATCTCGTGGAAAAGGGAATTCTCAAAGGATAAATAATATTTATTAACATTAATAAAATGGGGACTTAGATGACTTAGGAGAGATAAAGCAGATGCCACTCCAATAAACTTAATTTAGAAAACCTTACGGAGTTAGGCCTATTGGTCTCCCATCCTCTCTCAGAGGGTAGATAATAAATACAATACACACCATTATTCCAAGTTTCCTTGTGGGGGAAGTCTGTTTGCAGAGCAAACCAAGAAACTTCTGAGTCTTAACACGCTATTTCCAAACGAGTGATGGAGGAGAATACCAGGGAAAGCTTGTTCATAGGGGGCTGGCCGGCGCCAACAGGCGGGTGGGAGGGGCCCTGAGCAGGAAGACAAAGGGGAGGAGGCTGAGCGGTCCCAAGAGGCATGGCCAGGGCCGGGGGGTGGGGGTGTGCGGTCTTCACCTTGGGTTTTAATTCTTCGTAGGAAACACGGCCCTCCTGGCTGCTAACCTGCTGTTTGAGATGCTGTGTGTTCTCCCCAAAGTGACAGTTGTCTGAACCTTGTCCTCTTCAAGACATCATCACATCGCATCAGGGACAAATTCTCAAGAACTTATGAGCAAGCAGTCAGTTCTGAAGAGTTTATGCCAATAAAACTTTCTACTAAGGGTGTCATTGGTGGCTGTAAAATCAGGGTATAAAGTAAGAACTCTAATCTAAACAGCCAGTATTAAGGAGGAGTTTGAATTAACTTAAAAAACAGAGGCCACTTGTTCTGTGCTGATTTTTTCCTTTAACACAAGATGATGGAGGACAAAGGGGGAAGGGATGGAGAATTTAGTTCCAAGTTATCTTAAAATTGGAGGAATGAAATAAAATAAAGACTACGAAACAATACGGTATAAACCTTCCATATTTCTGTAGTATCTTCCTTTTAAATACAGCTCCTCCTCTGAGGAGCTTGGGGCCTGCAACTTGGTTTTAGGACCATCATGATCATAAACAAGAAATTGGAAAGAAACTAACATGCAGATCCTAATAAATTTCCCATTCGAAAGTCCAGGGCAGGCGGGGTGTGGGGGGTGGGGTGGGGGTTCTGATGGTTTTGGTGGTGCATGAAATGTCTTGTAAACCAGACACCACCAGCTGGTCTCCAAACAGCCCTTCGTGATACTTCCTTAAGCCTGTGTTGCATTATCTGCTCTTTTAGCAGATACAGCCTCTTGGGCAGTAGTTCCCAAAATCTGTAGTTAGGATGAGCTCATAAGCATGTGCTCAGTTACATGCAAATTCCGTTTTGCTGCTAATGTGTCCATGATCAAATCATCATCTCGTAATGCAGGAGCTACCCGTAATCATCACACATTAAAATAGTTTATTTCTGTTTCCAGTCAGTAATATTCTTAAAACAAAAATAACATCAGCTTTAGTACCTGGTCACAATACAAAACAAAGACAACATAAAAAAGACACCATTTGCCAAATAAGTTATTTGTTCCTAAGAGTATCAAAAGTGCAAAATATTCACTTTCTTTTCAGATCTGTCTCGAAAGTAGAATTATTCTCCTTGACAAACTGAACAGAGAGTCAGCAGCTGCCACGCTGCGTTTGTTTTCAAGGGACAATGGCAGGTATTTGGATGTGAGCAACATTTCATTTGACAACAAGTTTTGCATCACCTTTTAAAGAATTTTCCTTAAAAAAAAAAAGTTTGAGTGTTTGCTTCTAATCCCATTTCCCAAACAAAGCAAATCACTCAAAACATTCAGATCCCATTTCTCTTTATATCAGGAAAATATTTATGTACCAAATGAGGAGGAAATCAACCTGTTACTTGAAAAGCACAACCAAGTTTTCATGGTCAAGTGGTAGCAGCGAGACCATGGCACCCAGTGGAAGCCGGGGTGGCCTTGCTCACGGAAACGGCTTCATCAGGCGCCGTCCTCACGTCAGACTGTGCCACTGACAGCTTGGCAGTGAGAACGTCGTCTTTAAATGGGCACGTGTTCTACAAAGACTTTTAAGGCCATTTTTCAACCTCCTCTGCTAAACATGATGCATAGTCTCTATCAGCCAGAAAAACCTACCTCTAAAATCATCCATGTTGTCTTTTGAAGATACGTATTTGAAGACTAGGAAGTTAAAACCAAAACTGGGTCTGTGTGGTCACATACATCAGAAAGAGAAAGGGTGGCATTGGCTGAGCATGACAATGGCGCGTACATCTGACACAAAAGTAAACGAGTCCATGGAAACGACATTCAGGGGAAAAGGCCTGGGTGGTCAAGGGTAAAGTTCATTTTACAACGAGAGCTCCCCCGTCCTCTTGGCGGACCCTTTGCCCCCGAAGGGACCTGTAGAATGTTTGGGCTGAAGTATTTGCCAGGAAGGCTTTCAATCCTGCCATCGCTTCCCCTTCTTAGTACAAATGGAAGGTGCAGCTGTCTGCAGGTGCTTTTTATTTTAATGATAAAGTGTTTTTATATGAACAAATCTGGGGAGGCTTTGGTTTTCAGAAATTATGGTCAGGAATCCCATTAGTACCAGACATTAAAAATAAAAACCTACCATCAAACCAAAACATACTCATTTAAGCTACGTGGCCATGAAAAGATCCAGAAAATAATTTTGAGGACAGGTGCACCATGGAGCCAAATGAATTCCGTGATCATCTCTAACTGGGTCAGGTGCCATGAGATATGGCAATCAAGAGTGTCCACTTTAGAGGGTCATGGGGGAAAATGAAGCATGGCAGTGATTTATTTATTTATTTTTCCATAAAGCTATCGATTTCATGAAAACTACAGTAGTTCCTGGGCTCAAATAATTTACTACTTGTCACTGTAGCTCAGTAGTTAAGCTATTCAGGATCCAAATGGCTTAATTTAAAGCAGTTATGATTAAAGAAAATACTAACTTATTTTGTCCCATCAGTGATTTTGGCCCTTCACTTTACAAACTGCCTCTAAAAGGGCAACTTGTTTTGACATTTGAACAGACCACTCTTTGAGGCTGCCCAGACTCCACTGGTAGTTTTGCCCTGAATAGAAAAGGTAAGCTCTCTAACCGGCGGGAACGATCCAGCCGAGAGTCCTTGGTACCTTGCAGCTTGGCAAGCGGAGGCCAGGTCCGACCTTGTTACTGGGGAAGCAGCTCTAAGTCAAGGGTGAAACGATTAAGATGAGACATCAAAATATAGGCCAGAAGTTCAAAGTAAGCCTTCTGCAAAACAGGAGCCTAGAACACTCTTGGTTCACCTGTCACAAAAGAAGACTTGACGATACAGCATTTGGGGGGCAACAGTGTTCAAAATACAACCGAGAAACGTTAGGTTCCGTGATGCAAAGACACGTCTGGTATTTTACTAAAGGGACTCCACTCATGGGGGGTGTGGGCATAATGTGTCTTCAGTTTAACATCTACTGGCTTATAGCAGCTTATCTCTACGTCCAGAGAACAAGGTTAAAGTTATGGCTCCTAATATCCACACCCTAAAACTGACACAGGCAGAAAGGCATCTGAAAACATACACGTAAATGGCTCGAGTCATTACAGTACTTCTTGCCGTGCGGATCCCTCTGGGCTACATTTAGTGCTGGGGAGGTGGCTGATGGGGGGCTCACAGAGGGGTCGCTTCAGTCACTGCCCCGCCCTCCCTTCTCCTGCCTTGGGAAGAAAACCAAACTCGCATGCAGAACCCCCGCTCATCCCTATACTTTTAAAACCATGGCTGACAAGCTGCTGTAGGGGGATACCCCCAAAATATACTTTAGCCACTTACTACCGGGAAAACCGTTAAACGTAAGACTGCTCGGATCTAGGCCTCTTTCAAGACACAGGGCCTAGAAGCTGCTGCGGGCTGCCCCACTGTTCCAGCATGCACTCTGGCGGAAGCACAGCGGGGCCAGGAGGGGCGGGGAGGCGGGCAAACGGCCCGGCTGGCAACCAGCGCACCAGGCTCCTGAGGTTCCATCCCAGTACGGCTGCGGGGCGAGCGCCTGTGCTTCTCCCAGGGCACAGAGACACGACGGGGCAGGGTGCTGGGAGCGCGTGGCAGGGACCGTAAGGAAGAGGGAGTGAGCAGTCTGTTTTAAATAGTGCGGCATTCAGATGAAGAAAAAAAACCCAAAGGAAAATATTTTGATCTAGAGAATTCAACTTGTGGTGTTTTTCACTCCTAGGTTAGAACAGGACAAAAGGAAGATTCTCCTAGCCTTTGTTCTAGAAGAATAATCTAAAATCTATACTCTGTCCGTTGTGATAGTTTTGAGTCCTGAAAATACCTGTTCACAGGGACCTGTAAAAAGTCTGAAGAGTTCAAGTCTCTCTGAAATCCTCTCAGTCTAGCTCAGGCCAAGACGGGATATAGAACCTCTGCAAGGAGCCTTCCAACAGGCGTTCCATCCATAAGGACAGCTTGCTCAACTTCCCTTTGATGGGCCTGGACCCAAGGCCACTGGAAGATTTCCCTCGAGGTTCCCCCAGATGGAGGGAAGAGTCAAGGTCACCACACGCCCCCATGGCTTCCTCCTCTTCAACTGTTTTTTGGGGCTTGAAGAGGCAGAAGTATTTCTTGTGGCCATTCAGAGCCAGTACGTAACCAGTGTAGTCACGCTCCATGAAGTGCTTGTCGTACTGGTTTGGGATGGGGGATGCATCTTGAGCAAACTCTAACAAGTATTCGAGCCACTCTCTGTGTTTATCTAGACTCAGGAAGGAGAAGTGCAGGCAGCTGCTCCTGTGGAAGGAGGAGAAGGGGACTTAAGGTATCGCCCGACACACTTAGCCGCAGGGAGCAGTTCAGGGAACAGGCGGCCTTTGCGCCAGGTGGGGCCACAGCACAGAACCATGAAGGAGTTCTGTGGCAGCTGAGGGCTTCTACAGCAGCTATGACACTACACTCATCTGCTTTCCCGTCCCTTGCTGGGTGTCACTTCTGTCACTCTCAGTGCCTGGCTTCAGGAAAACACGCAAGAGTGAGAGAACAGTCAGGTTCCTGAAAGGGCTCAGGGAAGAACCAAAAGGACGTGCAATCAAGGGGACACACGGTCCCCCGGTGAGGGCTGAGATTTCTGGGTCGGCAAGGTCCCGGCCAGCGTCTCGCTGCCTGGATAAAGCTCCTCACAGCCGAACAGGAGAGGTGGCAAGCTTCCGCCAGTCCCCCCCTTCCCCGGTGTGCATGCTGCCTCCCCACCGTCCCCATCTCTCACACGCTCGCGCTCACCCCGTGAACGTGTAGACCTCCAAAGCGAATTTCTGGAGTAGGCTGGTCTTGGTGGCGTTGGACAGGATGAGGACCACGTTCATGTGGCCCGGCCTCAGGCGCACCAAGTTACTGGTATACGTCACATCTGTGAGTTCAGTGACCTCCACAAAGCCTTTTTTAGGGATCTTGCTGTGGAGAAATGCAGAGGATTTAAGATGTTATCAGGGTAGGGGATACCGCTACACTTTTAAAAGGGTCAAGTGGAAGAAAATGCTACGTTTTAACCAGATTAGTTATGTTACTGAATATTCTTGAGCCTGACACACTACTTGGAAATCCCAGGCCTATAAAAAGCCTCTCAGATGCTGCCACTCAGTTGGCATAGAAGAAACTCGAGGACAGGTAAGCCCCCGGCAGTCACTGCGGTGCACCACTTTCTGCTTCGGGCTTCTCGGGTACCCCTCTGACGTGCTTCTTTGTCTCCTGCCCTGAGTACTGAACCCGAGGCTCAGAAGCTGCTGATCCTGAGGAGGAGGCGGCTCGGGTCTGAATGCGGAGAGGGTCTCAGTAAACAGGAGGCAGCAGCGACTTGCCCTATTCCCGGCTCACACGGCGCGCGGGGACCTGGAGCTGTGTGTACCCCTTCTACGTGAGCGCTGCCCTGTGAGACCCCACGGGCTGAGGCCTGCCGCTCGGGGGAGGTGGGCTGGTGTTTTGTTAGAGAAACCTGCTGTTTTCTTTGGCGAAGCTGGGCTCCGTCTTCCCGGCCTTCTCCTGGGCTTCCTCTTTGCCTGGAGGGTTGGACTCTCGCTCATCATTTGAGTCACTGAAGTGGGAGAAAAGGAGTTTTACAAGAGAAGAGGATAAACAACCACGAGGCTTGGGGCTCTCTGGGAAGCCACGGAGGGTTTACCTGAAAGCCTGAACGATGACGGTGCCAAAGAGGATGAAGAGGGCGGAGAAGACCAGGGACAGGAGGGGCATCATTTCCCGCCTAAAACCAAGTTAACAAACTTACAAACTGCTCAGCTCTTTGTGGGTTGCTCTGACATATCAATGAATGATTTCTGGTTTCCTCTCTCTGACTCAAAAGAACAAAACCCAAACCAAAAAGCTTTCATAGCAATAAACACGTTCTAATTTCCTACAAACAGAGGTTTTTGTGGGGTGGGGTGGGGAAGCAGAGGTTTCCCCTTCACTGTTATCATTCACAGTGAAATTTTAAAAGTTTGACTTTGTGCCTCAGTGTCAGAGGTAAGAGATGAGCCTGGAAGAACATTCTGATGTTAAGGGTCGTCAGATGTTCTCAGGACAGGGGAATGCCATTACAAAGTCATGGAATGATTTCCTTTATTTTGACTTTTTCCCCCCCTGGAATAATCCAGACGTGGCTCAGAGGGGTGGAGTAGGGAGAAAACGTTGACCTTCTACAACCTTCTCTAGGACTGTTCTAAAACTGCATTCTCCCACGAACACTCGTCAGAGGCCTGCCATTTTGCAGGAGCTGTGCTGGGTGCTGGGAATCATGAACACGAAAGGGACGTGCTCCTGTCCTTCAGGAGCCCACAGCCTTACTGGGGTGGGAGGGGGCACCCCAGCCTTCTCGGGCCCATCCACTGATCGGTTTGTGCGCCGATACACTGGACCCCCCGTGTGTCAGGCACTGGGCTGGGCACCAGGGGGCGCCCTGGGGAAGAGCACAGTCCCAGGCTCTGTCGTCCAGCAGGGCAGCCGGGGTGATCCTTTCTTTCCCACCCAGTGGGAAGCAGTCGGCAAAAAAAAAAAAAAAAAAAAAAAAGGCACCGAAAGAAAGAAAAAGGGGAACAGTGTTGAAAATATGTAAACATCCTTCCACCTGCCTGGCTGAAGATACACTCATATCAAAGGACAGACTCTATTCAAAAGAAAAACAGTGGTCCTGCTATTAATGGAGCAAAAGAAATTCAATCTAGTAACAATATTCCTACCAGTTGCTGTGAAATACGCTATCCCAGCAGTCTGAGATGTAGTCAGCAGCAGAGTAAAGCCACCGAAGCAGAAAAATCTATTGAGAGAAAACGGATGGTGGTCAGACCCTGGGCCCTGGTCGGGGAAGTCCTCGCCTCCAACGCAGCACCATTGCTGAACCTCTGCTTGGGCCCGGGGAGCTCACCAGCCCTGCCCGGCGCCCACTCTCCTGGGCCCTGTGCTTACAGGGGCAAGTTCATCGGTCAAGTCGGGGAGCACAGCTTCTGAGGACAAGAGAGCCGGGTCTTTCCGCAGCTGGTCGAGATATCCCAGAAGGATGAACTTATCATTCTCGCTCCCTGTCCAGGGTTCCTCCAGGGTCTTATACACCACCCTGCCTGCTGTGTTGCGTCTTTCTAAGATGGACACCTGGGGGGAAAAAAAGAGAAAAACCATCAGAATTCTCTAAAGAATGCTAAGTTACTGTTTAGTTTTTTTTTTCAGAGAGGACAGAAAAAAGGGTCTAGTGAAGTCAGCAATAAATTCAAACACAAATACGGATGACCATAAAACATCTGCAGATTTAAATTTTTCTGACCAAAGAAACAATCGTGGACCTGGCTGGCATGGCTCAGTGGATTGAGTGCTGGCCTGAGAACTGAAAGGCTACCGGTTTGATTCCCAGTCAGGGCACACGCCTGGGTTGCAGGCCAGGTCCCTAATTGGGTGCGTGGGAGAGGCAACCAATCAATGTATCTCTCATACATCGACGTTTCTCTCCTTCTCTTTCTCTCTCCCTTCCCCTCTCTCTAAAAATAAATAAATAAAATCTTAAAAAAATAAACTATGGTGACGTTTCTGTTGATTTTCCGAAGGTTCTGTTAAAAATTAAAGCTTTTTCTTCTCAATAAACTTTGTTTGACAACCTCTGACTTAATTTTATAATAAAGGAACCCTTTGTTTTTTAGATTAGAAAGGACAGTGAAGAATCGAATGCTTCTGTAGAGAGTGATGACAAAGGAGGGGAAGGAAGGAGATCAATTAGATGCCCTACAAGTGGGGAAGGAGAATTTTGAAAGCATGCTGCTGGCAGCGTGATGAAGATTTTGGGGATTAGCTACTGCAAGACTAGACCTGTCGCGGGAAAAACTAGAGAAAAGGACTGACGGCCTTCAATCTTTACTCACAGGAAAAGTGCTTGCTGAAAATCAAAGAGGTGAAATCACCAGACCAAAGGACTATTTTAATAAGAGTAGGCCTTTGTAACAGGCTCAGAGTGTTCTGGACTTCTGGAATCTGTATTCAGAAGTCCTGAGGAAGGAGGAAACAGAACCGAGTGCCCTCGCTTGTGGAGAGGACAGGATGGAAACCGGGACTCACCGCCGACTTTCCCCGGAATGCCTCACCGTCCGGAAGGAGGGTGTCGGCAAACTCTGGCTGTCGGTTGCTGTAGATGTGCACAAACCGCACTGTGTCCTGTGTGTTTGCCAGGGCAAAGGACAGGAAGGCCTCAAAGGGTTTACTCGATTTGGTGGTCTCAGCAGTCAATAGAACCACACAGTACCTGCGCCACAACAGAAGACATTATAACCAATCCCCGAGGCCATGGCGAGAGCCTGTGATGGCAAGCATAGGTGAAGGGGCGGATGTGCTCCAGCGAACACGTTTGACCAGTGAAAACTGTATCTTCAAAATCTCCAGTGAGAGAGGACTTCCAAGTCACTCATGACCTGCTGCTTTTCCAGTCTGGTGACGTCTTCCCCAAACCAAGCGCTACCACACTTAGGAATTCCTTTTATGGCAGTGGCCACTGAATCCTTGACACAGAAGGGCCTTTCGGAAGCCATCTGGTCTAGTTCTTCCCCCACAGGTGGGGCTGGTCACACCTCCCTCGGCCCACAGGCCATTCTGCAGGGCTTCCTTGCAATGATTCCAAAGGAAAGTTTAGCTTGTCACTCATTCCGCCACTTTCCTGAGTGTTTCCTAAGCACCTCCTCGATGCCAGGTAAGACAGACTATGTGTGTGCCCTATTCAAGACCTGCAAAGACTCACCCAGAGTGGAATCCTCTAGAAGGAGCAGTAACTCTCTCATACTCCCTGCTTCTTTAAGGTAACCATTTCTCCCTGACACCTGGCTGAAGCCTTCTCATTCTTCAGGTCTCAGCTAAAGTGTTAGACCTGAGGGAGAGCCTCTTTGACCCTCAGGCCAGGCTGGCACAGCTGGTAATCTGGTTCTCAGGGACCCTGACCGAATATACTCCACGACTACAAGAGTCGTCAGTCAACACTGGTTACATAAAGAATAAATTCTGTCATAGGGTAGATGTTTAACTGCCTTGTGGTAAAGTGCGACATGGCCCCTCTATGGCAATGACAAGCAGAGCAAAGCCTTACTTCCTCTGGCGGTGGGACCGCTTCACGGGGCAGAGTTCATGGAAGAGCTTCTGGCTGGTGAGCCGGGCTGCTAACAGATACTTGTTTTGGGTGATGAAGTCATCAATGACCTGCTTCTTCATACCTCTGGCCTAAAAGAAAACCAAGAAACAGTTGATTTTTATTCTGCTTTCTTACTGCAAATGAGCTTTACTTTTCAGCTCTAAAAAATGTGGCTGCCTTGGCTGGTGTGGCTCAGTGGATTGAGCACCAGCCTGTGAACTGAAGGGTCGCCGGTTCGATTCCCAATCAGGGCACATGCCTGGGTTGCGGGCCAGGTCCTCAGTGAGGGGTATGTGAGAGGCAATTGCTCAATGTTGCTCTCCCTCTTTCTCCTTCCCTCCCTCTCTCTAAAAAATAAATAAAATCTTTAAAAAAACGTGGCTGACCCTGGCTATAGTAGTATAACAAAATAAGAAAGATCTGTCTGAGCAAGTAAACATGTGACCTACTTCAGGAATGCAGGGCTGAAAGCAATGCTGTGATCTTCTCAGGGCAAAGGGAAGGCAAGTGCTCTTTCCACTGGAGAACTTTGTATATTGTTTTATGCTGGCAGACTTCAAAAGCCAATCATTTTACATTTTTGGCAAATTTACTTCCATTTAAGATTTGTAGCAAACTGAACAATTAAACTCCAAAGTAACAAAGCTACTAAGTATAAAAGGCGGACCACAAAACTGTATGATGACCACTGTTATTAGTAGCTTCCACATTTTGAAGGACAGAAATTATACAGAGTGGGCAAAATTAGGTTTACAGTTGTGAGTACATGAAACACAGAGTTTGTTTGTATTATGTATTTTTCCGTAACAACTGTGAATCTTTTTCCCACTCTGTATACTGTAGGCTCTCTGACCACAACCTAGAAATCCATAAAAATGTAAACCAGAAAATCCCTGCATGCTGAGAAACACACTCTGAGTAATCTACTGAACCAAGAAAGTAGGTCAGATATTAGAAAATATTTTGAACTTGAATGATTAATGGAAATACTATTTATTAAAACTTTGAGATGCAGGTAAAATAGTCGTATTTAATTTTTGTGGTAAAATATATGTAACAGAAAACCTACCATTTTAAAAAAGATTTTATTTATTTTTACAGAGAGGGGAAGGGAGGGAAAAAGAGGAAGAGAAACACCAATGTGTGAGAAAAATATCAATCAGTTGCCTCTTGCATGCCCCCAACTGGGAATGTGGCCCCCAACCCAGGCACATGCCCCGACCGGGAATTGAACCAACAGCCTTTTGGCTCACGGGACAACACCCAACCCACTGAGCCACACAAGTCAGGGCTGACCCTTTTCAGGAGCGCAGCTCTGGGGCGGCGGCGCATTCGCATTGTCCTCCCGCCCCCGCCGCCGCCGCCGCGCCGCCGCCCACCTTCTGAGCCCTCTCACCTTCCCCAGCTGGCGCTGTGCTCTCCCCACACCAAGTCCCCTTTCCTTCCTCCCCAGCCCCTGGCAACCACCATTCTGCTTTCTGCCAAGATTACTTTTTACGCAAAAGAGTACCCAATGGGAAACAAGCTTGCTTTTAAATTTGTGCCTCTGAAGGAAGAAATGAAAAGCTAGTTTCTCCTCCTCACCTGCTTTGTTCAGTTTTGCTGTTTAGTATCTACATGAGGGCTCAAGATAAAATGTGAGGGCGATCTTGAAACCGACCGCCTCTGCCGTACCTGGATGACATCTGCAGGCTTGTTTACGTGCTCTTTAAAGACCAAGATGGTGGGAGTGTAGGTGTTGACGTTGTATTGTCGCGTCATCTCTTCTGTCCCTCTCAGACCGACATACACATATCCAAATGACAAATAGTCTTTGTATGCAAAAGCGGTCAACTGCGAGGGGGTAACAGAGAGGAAGGGATGAAATGAACAACACAGCATGTACACCGCAAGTCAGATGTGACTTGCTCGCATCCGAGGACAGAGACGAACACCAGCTTACTATATGGCCTCACGTGGGCTGTCGCACACTTGAGCCCTTGCAGCAGTTCTGTGGTGCTCCAGGCATGAAAACTGCACCAACAAAGCTAAACACAACTGATTCTTTTTTTCAGACAGAGCAAAACATTTGCCTTACTGAGATCTGCAGTGGGTGGGAGGCGTGGCGTGTTTGAGGAGCTACCCGCAACCCAATTCCGCGAGATGGCACCGACCATCTCATCTCACAGCGATAACCAGAGGTGCTGGACGTGCAGTGTCGTTCAGCGGGCAGGTCTGGAGTCAGACAGGCTCCAAGGGAATCGGTACTCCCCGCGCTGGAGGGAGACCTTGGTTTCGTTCATCACACAGCCACTCTACGCTTCAGTGTCTCGGGATGACGTCCGTATCACTGCTCTCTTCTGAACAGTTAATGCTATTGCGTGCGTGGGCAGCACTGGCGGACAAGCGTCAGCATCAGCAGTGCTCAGTGCGTGGGGCTTACAGAAGTGGCCTTTCAGCACTTCTCATGGGATAAGCTTTCATTCACAAAAAGGACAATCAGGCTACGAGTTCTTTCTGCCAAAACAGGAGAAAACGTTACCCCAGCAGATACAGTACCTTGTACAGCAGTGGTACAACAGGCATTTGGTCAAACAGGAGGACGTGCGGTTTATTCTCTTGCTGCCAGCCAGAGAGAAATCTTACATAATTTTTATTTGTAACCTTCAATTGAAAAGAAAATGTTAGTTTCAATATTTAATTTTCAACCATTGTATTATCATCCAGTCAGTAGATATTTAAATAAAATCAAATATGCATAAAATATTACTTTGTAAAAACTAAACAATGCCAACTAATCTTTTGTCTTCATTTGACTAAAACTTTTAAAAAGAACAGATTGTTAATTTCATATTTTCATGTGTTCCAACTCTTACAGACTTAAGTCATAATTTTTTCTAAAACAATTATGGACCGTATTATTAAAAAAAAATTGAGCTTTCAAAGTTGGCCTTGCTTACAGGCTGTACTTGTAAGTCTATTAATCTTAACCTATTAACTTTAATCTAATATGGAACATAATGCAACAATTGCTCTTTTAAAAAAGCTTAAATAAAAATAAGTGGGCCTACCTCACCTATACATTACATAATTTCATTTGCCATCTGAATTGCTACTTTTGTGTTTCCTGGTTTATGCCTTAAAATTATTCTACTGAGAGAGCAAACTAAAAGCATGTACAATTCAATTTTTATCTAGAAATTTTTTATTAATAGTTCAAAAAAGTATCTTCCCACTCTGCTTCCAGAATGAACTATATAAAACCTCAATCGGATCATTTCTCTCCGTTGCTCAATGGCTCCGCCACCTGCAGGCTGAGGCCCGAACTCCTTAAAGGGGCAGGAGGCCCTCTGAGGCCCTCAAGGTGAGATTCCTATGAATGGTCTAATCTCCCCCTCTCCCACCCACGAACGGTTACTTCATACAAAGCAGGCTGTTCCTGTCCACACCTCTGCCCGTCTGGGACTCATTCCCTACTTCTCCTCACCTGGTAAACTCAGTACAGGGATCACTTCTGCCAGGAAGCCTTTCCCAACTCTCCAGGATGGGCTCTTAACCTACCAGATGGAAGTAACCACCTGCTAGACTGCGAGCTCCTTGAAAATTGTCCTCAACACTTATCACAGTGCTAGAGGCCGAACAGATATTATATAAAGGTTTGAGGACCTACCAGGACAGCCTACCATGGTTTTAGGAGCCTACAATGCTCTCTGACAATTTCCTTTCACTGTAACTCCAACAAGCATTTCTTCCGGGGCTCACAGTCCTGGCAGGGCAGCCTATGGACAGCGCATGTGGAAACACGATGGAAATGCCTGCATGTTCCCTTTCCCTGGTGTTGTCAAAGGAATGGATCATTTAAAGCAAAACAAGAATCCTGTTCTAGTTCTTTTGATCCCTAACTTAAGAGACTGGGGGAAAAATGCTTCTTAAATATAAAAACCATAAACTAGTATGAACTCTGTGTGCCTGGCTTCTTGAAGCTCAGTCTTTTGTTTGTGAAATTTAACCATGCTGTTGCATCACTGTACATTGTGAAAGTTCCAAAAATAATATTTGTTTTCATGATCTGGTGTTTATCATAGATATGATCATTAAAGCCATAATCAAATATAGCTTAATTTGAATATTCTCATAAGAAAAGTACCTTCAAGTGAACAAGGTCAGGGGTCAGAAAGAAATCCTTTATCTTACGTTGTGGTCTAATTTTCTGCTTAGAAAGTAAGAGTCACTGTCATTTGAGGCTCAGATTCCTATGGCAGCGTAAATCTGCACAGTGATTATTAACAGGGAGCAACTCTTTCAGTCTCTCTGCCTGTTCAATTTTCAGTCTCTGCTGACAGACTTCGCTGAAATGCTTTGGTTTGAGTGATTACTTAATATGTGCCTTGCCCTGCTCGAAATGAGCACAGGTCGAGCGCCGGGCAGTCGGCAGCACCAGGCACCTCGCCAACCTCCTCTCAGCAAGGTACTTACTTTCTCCACCAAGTTCCCTGGAAGAAGACTCTCCACAAACTGTCGTAGGTTCTCACGGACAACTGCGTTGTGAAAGAAGGAGATTTTCCCGTTTATGATTCCTAGGATAGAGGGTGTGCTGTGTGCTCCGAGGTGATGGGCCAGGCGCCTCTCGTACCCAGCATGGACCACGCCGATTCCTACACCTGAAAAGTATGGAAGACCTACATGAAGACTTTTTAAAAAAATTTTTTAAAATTTTATTTATTTATTTTTAGAGAGAGGGGAAGTGAGGGAGAAAGAAAGGGAGAGAAACATCATGTGAGAGAGATACATGGATTGGTTGCCTCTCGCATGTCCCCAACTGGGGACCTGATCCACAATCCAGGCATGTGCTCTGACCGGGAATGAAACTGGCAACTTTTTGGTTTGCAGGTCAGCACTCAATCCACTGAGACACAAAAGCCAGGGCCTTTTTATGCCTCCTGAAGAAATGCCACTTAAGTGATTTTTTGGTGTGAAACTGAAATTCCGACCCACCGGGAGGGGCACCTGACGCTTGCCCATCTCCCTATTCCTACGGTCCCAGCTGAGGCCAGTGGTTGCTGCCTGGCCAGGGCTGGTAACCTCCTTGCCTCTATTCTCACCTGCCTTAGCCTGTCTTTCACGTAGCTTTAAGAGTTAGCTTTCTACAGTGTAGGCCTGATTAGGTCACTCCTCTGTGTAAAAGCTTTTCTTGGCTTTATTACATACGGTAACACAGAGGCCAGCTTCCTCAGCCTGGACTTAAGGCTGCTTACTACCTGGCCCCTGCTTCCTCCTCTCACCGTGGCTGCCGGCGCTTCTGAGAAGGCCGTCCCTGCCGGCACGGCTCCCTCCGCCTGTCGTCACTCACCCGTCTCCTGCCCGGCCAACCTCTAATCACCTGTCAAGACTTAGCTGGTAAGTAAAAAGTTAGTGCTTGATTGTCAGTGAGTTGGAGAAAGTAGACTGATACATTTAAGAAAGAAAGTTTAAAGGGGTTTATAAAATAGGCACGTTCAAAAATTTTACTTTGGTAAACCAGGAAACCTAGTAATCAGAAATTTTCTAAGGTTCATTTAGCAAGTGCCTTATAGCAGGCACTTAATGAAAATCTTCTCATTTAATATTCAATCTCTGGAAAGCATTTTGACAAATCTGAGTATCTGAGTGCTTCTGAACAACAGGTTGACGATTCCTGTTTCAGAACAAATGAACCAATGCTCGTCAGTGGTATGCTCTCTCCAGAGAAATACAGGCTGCTCAGACCCTGTGAGTTTGTTCCTTTTTAGTTATTCAAAAGCAGGTCTGCTAATGCCCAGAACACAAACACAAGCACACACATATTTCATTCAGTAGTTCCAACTTTCAGGAATTATTATAATAAATATCCTCTCTGGATCACCAAAATCCTCCTGGCACCAAGCGGTAGCTACAAACAAAGGAAAGGCTAAGCTGGGATTCAGAATGGTAACTCAGGATGGTAACGTTGTGGGCTGACTTGTGTCCTGCCAAGTCCTAACCCCCAGTGCCTCAGAATGTGGCTGTATTTGGAAATAGGGCCTTAAAGAAGTACTTAAGTTAACATGAAGTCATAAGGGTGGGCCCTAATCCCATAGGATTGGTGCCCTTGTAAGAAGAGTTTAGGACACAGAAAGAGACAGACACCAAACACATGCACACACAGAGCGATAACCACGTGAACACACAGGGAGAAGGCAGCCATCTGCAGGCCGAGGAGAGAACCCTGCAGGTACCTTGACCTTGGACTTCTAATCTCGAGAACTGTGAGAAAGTGCATTGCCGTTGTTGAGGTGTTTTTTGTTAGCACAGCCCTAGCAAACTAATACAGAGTGAAATCACAAACACCATGTGAATCATCTGGAACTACTACCAGCCCTGACATTAACTCTGGACGGCTGCTTTGCTCACCAATCATCTTAAGCTTCTCCACGTATTAAGATCCCAACTAGTTGTTAGGGGACCATAGAGATAAAGCTTCAAGTTAGTAATTCAAAATGGAAGTAGCTGATACACTTCCCCTCTCTGAAAATGTGTCCTGGGAAAACGCCAGACACCATGAACTTGTGAAGAGAAATCGCACTGTTCCTTCTCCCCAACATCCCACAAAATTCAAGATTTAAAAGTTACCTTTTAAGTTACCATTTAAACATCTTCCAGTGAATAAAATGATCTTACCCAGTCCTTCTAGTTCTTGAACTACTTCTTTCCAAACAGGTTCGATATGGATACAGCTAAAACACCAATCTGAGGTGATCTTAATGAGGTAAGGTCTCTTGAAGCTATCTGGAACCACTTCATTCACGTAATGTGAAAACTGCAATAAATATTTTTCATCAATAGAGTCCCGCCGCTCAGAATTAAATGGGAAGTGAAAAAAAGACTCATCAAAATAAAAATTTTCATGGAAATGGCGGAAGCGGTATTCTCGCTGCTGCTGCTGCTTCTGGTAGCCCTGGTTCTCTCCAGCATCTCCATAGTGATCGTAATTTGATCTCTTTTCTTCATTGGAAAGAATCTGAAAAGGAAGAAAAAACCAGAAATCTATAGAACAAAAAAAACCTTTACCTGAAGAACTTTTCCGTAAGCAGCTTAGAAGATATAGAAAGGAAATAAATGTAAAGGCGATATGATTGGATATTCTAATTAACATATCAGAAGATTCTTCTCTCAATAGAATCATTAAGTGTTTCAAGGCCAAAGTAGTTCAGTCACTTAAGTGCTCAGCTTGGATTTAAGGATTTTGAACTATCCTAATACTAATCATACCAGTAAAATGATAAAACCTAACACGGTGTTGCTCACCAGGGCTCGAGCACGAGAAAATTTACTGGGCCATGTCATTTAAGGTGGAATGATTCAAACCAAAATATGAAAAGCTGTGAATACCAAAAAGACCACAGAATTGAGTTCAGTGTCTTGCATGTTAGCTGACTTTGTTTTACTTAGAAGTAACTTTGAAGTCTAAAATTTGAGAACCTGTTTTAGGATGATGTGCCATTCAGCTAAGCACTGTCTGTTGAAGAGCATCACCCTGCCCACAGCAGGAAGTCAGGTACTTATCTTTTGTGTGTCTTCCAGACAAAACCACTTAAGCTGACATGTTAGAAAACTATCGAAAATCTTGTGGTTAAAAGTAGTTGGCCAAAAAGTTCATTTATTTTTTTCCCTTAATGATGGCTCTAGTAGTGTTTAGTTGTCTTTTACTTCATTCGAAACACTTTTGTTAGACTGTATTGTGACAGCCGTCATATCAGCGTGCATTGAAAAAAACTTAATCAAAATTGGTGAATTTTTGTGCAGCTATTTTAATACTGAAGATGGAAAAACATATACAATATTTTCAGCACATTATGCTTTATTATTTCAAAAAAGGTAAAAACGTAACTGAAAGACAAAATAAAAAAGGTTTGTGCAGTGTATGGCAAAGATGCTGTGACTGATCAAACATGTCAAAAGTGGTTTGCAAAGTTTCTTGGTCCTGTTGACATTTTGGCCAAATAATTGTTTGCTGTGAGTCTGTTTTAGGCACTGGAAGATGTTTAGCAGCACTCCTGGCCTCTACCCACTAGAAGCCAATAGTTGAAGTGAGCACATAATACAAGTTCTAAAAAGGAAATAAAGACATACCTTCAGGGTAATCTACAATTCCAATTAAAGTCTCTAAATAGGCCACTCTTTTAAAGAGCTGAAGTAGTCAGGCACTAGTTTCAACATACTGCTATGACCAAATATGGTCTCTACCATCATTTAGAAGCTGGGTCAAGGGCAAAGGGAACATGCCCTGCCCGAGAGGATTTTACGGAAATTTAGACACGTTTTATAAGTACTAACGGATGCATCCCGAATTCTGACACAATACCTCGTAAGCCTTGCTAATCTGAATGAACCTGTCTTCTGCTCCGGGATCTTTGTTTTTGTCAGGATGCCTGAAACACAAAAGGGCAGAAGTGAGAATGGATTTCATGTTTTACACCTGGTCAGTTAACATCCTTGCCCACACAGTTCACTACATCAGAGGCAAATGGAAGGCTATTTCGCTAGGACAGTTTCTTAAAAATAAATGGTAGAAGCGATTGGTTGCTTCACCTAACTATAAAAAACACACGCAACTTTAAAGCAGGTACTCTTTTCCAAAAGTATTTCAGCTGAGCACGTGTTCAAAGCCCAGCAGCAGACAGAGCGGCAGCATTTCACGAGGAAGGTGGGACATGAGAGCGCCCCGCACCGCTCCCAAACGTTGCCAAAGCGGGCTCCCAGCGGAAGGCACTTCTCCGTGGGAACCAACCTGTCTTCCCAGGAGGGAAGTGCTTCGCCCCAGGGTTAGAACAATGATATAAATTTCTTCTGTCGCACAGGACATAGCTTGAAGGATGCAACATGAATTTGTTTAGTAGCAACCATGTTTCAAATGGCGTCCTGCTGCTGCTGCTCAAATTAGAATGTTTTACTTTTCATTACTATGGTGATCCCATTCTACCTGTGATTGCTTTTTATCTATAAATGGATGATGATTTCAAGGCCATGTTTTAAGATGTGAGCAAAGTCCCCAATTTAAGCAAAGTGATTTCAACTAATAGAACAAGTATTTTCTATTGTACACAGCTGGCGCTTACTCATCCCACAGCCGCATATTATTCTGTCATCTGCTTGCGCTTATGCCAATTTCAGCTCTGGAGATTTTAAAGTCCTGGGAAGTGGGGGCTGGGTTTTACGTTCTCAGAACCCTCTAAGATCTAGATCAGTGATTGATTTTTCAGTGTTCATTTTATTGAGACTCTATTACAGACCTTATTCTTTATGTAATCAGTTCTGCTTACTTCTAGTAAACTTCCTCTAGCAAAGTCTCTGGAAAGAGAAAATTCACTAGGAAGCAAAGGACCACTAAAAACAGCACCAAGTACACCGAAATAAAAAAAAATTGACAACGTGATGAACATATTCTAGTAGGAGCATATTTGAATGAATTATACCACATATTCTGATTTCTGTAAAAAATAAAGAAACTTCAAGTTGTTGGTTATTGAATTTGGATATCATGGCTTAATATTTAATCCTTGTTATGAATATTAGTGGGAAAAAAACTCAGCTGGGTATAATGAAAACAGTATGACTTAAGGAAACAAGACGGTGGTTTCAAAGCATGTTTCTGGATGACAAGAAAAGCGCTTTAAATATTCAAACTCAGGCTGAAGGCTTGAGAAGATAAAAATTATGCCATCTCACCAACGAAGATTAACACACAGAACTCTGGGGTAGGGGGGAAGAGCCTGTAAAGAGAGTGAACCGAAGAGCGAGCTGAGAGGGCAGCTGGGTTACAACCACAGACCCTGCAACGGAGGAAACAGGCTCAAGAACTGGGGGGGACCACAGGGCAGTTTCAACTTATGAGGAATATTTTTCTAATCACAAGAAAACAACACAAAGTTGAAAACAGCTCAAAAGGGATAACTTCAGCTCTAAGTACTGTCTAATGCTGTTTTCAGTGCATATGCAACATTTTACAAACTGCAATAAATACACATCCTTTAAATTTGAGAGTGAAAAATATAGTGTACTGGGTATCTACTGGTGGTCTAGCTACCTCTAAGGGAATAAAAACAAAGGTAGAAAAAGTAACATAGGCCCTGGCTGGTTAGGTCAGTTGTTTAGAACATCATCCTGATACACAAAGGTTGCGGGTTTGATCCCTGGTCAGGGCACATACAAGAAGCAATCAATGAATGCATAAAAAAATGGAACAACAATTCAATGTTTCTCTTTCTCTCTCCCTTCCTCTCTCCTAAAATCAATAAATAAAATTTAAAAAGTAACTTATGTTGAATGTCGACTGTAATTAAAAAATTAAAAAACACAGAAAATAGTGAAAATAAACATAAGAAATTGTACTAGACAAATCAATTTACAGTTTTGGTGACTGACCATGTTATACCCATTTACTTCAAATCAAATTTTATGACACTTTTTTCTTGGAGCAGGAATTGTTAATTTTGCCAATGTAGATGACAAAAAAAAAGTATGTATGCTATAACTTAATTGTTGGGAGATGATGAACAGTTTTCCTGAGAGAGCAAGTAATTTTAAATGATTTCATCAAACAAGGGGCAAGGTCCTGAGAAGTCTAAGCAACACTATTAAGCAGTAAAACACGGTAGGGGAAGGCTGCAAATCCAGTTCGACAGTTAACTACTTCCCCGTTATAGTTCATTGTGAAAAGTCAAACTGGGAAACACTACTATTTTCAGTGCATATGAAACCATTACAAACGGAAACAAACTATTTCAGTGATAAAACACTGCCATTGCCGGAACAGCAGAAAATAACAGTACAGCGAAAATACAAAAGTAAAGTAAAATTGTAGACTTCACTAGATGATAGTCTATATATGGTGATGAAGTACTCCTGGAGAGAATCTAATCAAGGAAGAGACGCATAAGGCTTGTTTAATTAATATAACATCCTTTTCAGCTCTGGAAGACAGCAAAAGCAAAGCTGTACATTTTAATGGGTTCTACATACTGAAGCTATCATTTTTGCTTTTAAAATGTTGTCAAAGACTATATCCTGTCCAAAAGAATGTTACAACCATATTAGTTCATTGCAGATTTATAAATTTTGCTTTAAACATAAGCAGCAGGGGTCTGAAATGATGTAGAAAGCAACTTTGTGGTTAAGAGAGTCCCTGGAAACAGGCCACACATAACTAAAGACTGTGTTTTTAGTGACCAGTTCTGCATTCTTCATGATATCAGTCTGGTCTAAAACAGGGGTCCCAAGCCCTGGCTGGTGTCGCTCAGTGGACTGAGTGCCGGCCTGCGAACCAAAGAGTTGCTGGCTCAATTCCCAGTAGGCACATGCCTGGGTTGCAGGCCAGGTCCCCAGTAGGGGGCATGTAAGAGGCAACCACATATTGATGTTTCTCTTTCTCTTTCCCTTCCCCTCCCTCTAAAAATAAATAAATAAAAATCTCAAAACAGGGGCCCCAAACCTCCAATCCGAAGACCAGTACCGGTCCGGACCTGTTAGGAACGGGGCTGCACAGCAGGAGGTGAGCTTGAAGGTACTGAGCTTGAATCATCCCCAAACCAGCCCCACCAACCCCAGCCCATGGGAAAATGTCTTCCACAAAACCCGTCCCCGGTGCCAAAAAGGCTGGGAACCGCTCGTCTAAACTATCTACTCAGAACGTTGCATTTTAAACCTTTTACCTGTACTGCAACAAGTTTAAAACCAGGATACACGTGTCACAGAAGAATAATGGTGCCAGGCAGTCACACAGCCTGCAATGTCATCTGCATCAGCGATTTTCTAACTTCCTGCCCTAAACCCCAACCCACCCTTACTTCTGCCCAGATGGGCAAGCGATCAAAACACAAGGAAACAATAAACTACTGTAGGTGCAGAAGGTCAAACTATGGAAGCCAGAGGTAATACAGACTTAACAATCCATAAAACAGGGACAGCAATACCCACCCTCATAGTGTAATTGCATGGTTTAAATGAGATTTAAAAAAAAACAGAACCTGGCGCCCAGCGGGCAGGTGCTCAGTGATGGGTCCCATCCCGAAGCTTCCTTCCCTACTCATGACTGGTTCACACAGCTCACAGTCCTGGGTTCCTTCTCTCTTTTCCTCCTCCCACTGTTTCCCTCCAGCCATAAAATCCAACACTTCTACTGTGGCAAGTGCATAGCATTAGCGGAAGAAACTGACGCTGTCTGTCCAAAACAAGTGTTAAGTTTATTGCTATCCTGCTAAGTCATAAACACTTGTATATTCTCTAGCATATTACATATGCCAGATATATATGCATATGTATAATATGTGCTAGAGAATATACAAGCAAATAGCTGCAGGTATAATTCTGATTTTTCTGTAAAGTAATATACTCGATTCCTGAATATTCATTTAAAATTGACGGCAAAAAGCTCTTATTCTAAAATTTTTTTGATAGCTTAAAATTAATCTAGAAGATAGGACTGGGTAGTGCTTCCTTTGGCAATGAAACCCATAGAGAGCTACTTTATGAAAAACATCATGGGAAGGGTAGCTTATCCATTTTTGAGTACATATATATCTAAAAAATTAAAGTCTCCTCCTACTTTAACATTAAATATGCTAATGGTATCTCGGCAATTAAGGGGGTTTCAAAGTAACACAGGCTTCGGGTCACATCAGTAGAAATTACAGAATAACATAAACATTAGTTCTCCCAAATAAATATTTAAGACAGATGTATTATATATTTACTGAACACAGAAACAGAGACAAATAAAAGCTAATCATAACTTAGGCTTCATTTCCCTGCCAAAACTGCTTAGCTTATATTAAACTATTTCTTTGTTTCACCTACCATTCCCGGGCGAGCTTCTTATAAGCCTTTTTAATATCAGCCTGACTGGCTGTTCGGCTGACCCCTAGGACTCTGTATGGGTCAAAATCCAACGCAGACAGAATTTGCAGGATCAAAACCAGAACTATCAAGAACTGCCAGGAAATGCTCAACTTTTTCACTTCCATTTCTCTTCCTTTCCAGAGCTGAAATGATTGAAGAGGCAACAGGTTTCAGTGGTAGAACCCTGGACAGTCTTGCTTTTTAGGTAAAGGTATAAGATATAAAGATGAAAACCAAAACAAACAAAAGATACTTTGCAGAAAAAGTGTCAAGGTGTTTGACTATATTTTAAAAAATCAACAATCTCATTACTATTTATATCACAAATAAGAACTATGATAGATGAAAAGTGAGCAATAAGAATTAATAGCAATTCTCCAGAATCCTTGGATTAGAAAAGCTTTAGAAGCTGAATGACTGAAAATGAATGAGACGAAGAAATAATAAGTAAATGTGAAAAGACATACATAGGAAAATCAAAGTGACTACATCTCAAGTACACTGTTTCACTTATTCTGACAATCAACAGCAGTGTAAACTTAAAACACAAGGTTTAAGAATACCTCACTGAGTATAGGCTAAACAAGTTCATGAAACCATAAGATTTATCATGTCCAAAGTGTCACAAAATGAGACAGTTGTGAGGTTCTTGGGAGTTAAATAAGTACAAATACAAAAGTGAAATACTCTTAAAACTGCAATTATGACTTAATACGCCCCAATTCTATTTTCTCACCAAATCCTTTAGAACAGTGAAGCTGCTCTTTAGTTTGATCCTTAGCAATAGGGTCATTATAAATGAAGATCTTAGGAAATGCTCAACTTTTTCACTTCCATTTGAGAAAAAGTGTTCAGAAATAATTGGGTTTTCCACATGCAGTGGAATTAGTGACAAAGACAGTAGACCAGACATGGTCTTTAAATATTAAAGCTCCGTCTCTGGTTAAGTGTAGTGATTGAATTCATAGTGGGTTTTGGAAATAATACCGACTGGTTACTGAACAAGGTGGTGCTGTATCGCACAGAAATGTACACTCCAGGATTGTGCTCTTGGTGATATCATACAAAGTTTTTCCCAAAGGCTGTATTTATCTTGACTTCTCATAAAGTACTCAAATTGTAAGGTTCAAGGGTCTACTGTGACACCTTACTTAAGACGGTGGGCAAAAGCTGTACAACGGCCGTGAATTCTGACAGATGTCTAAATGCCGCCTGGGAGTCCTCACAAAATGGACCAACCCGACGGCCAACATTTAGGACTGCATGCACGCTCCATAAAATCCTCAAACCAGTTTCTTCCTTGTTCGGGTAACCTATAACCTATCCTGTCCTACAAAACACGCACAGCACTAAAAATCCGGGTGGGGAGATAGTTACTGGTTAAGCACGCGGACTCTGGAGTCAGACTGAGATGGGGATCCACCTTCCACCACTTTTAAATCCTCGGGCAAATTACTTAAACTTGTTAAGCCTCAGTGTCCTTATTAAAAAAAAATGGGGGTGAATAATACTATCTTGAAACGATCAACATAAGAGTTAAATGCTTGTAAAGTATTTACTGGGCACAGGATCAAGTTAGTAAGTGATACTTGTTATAATGATTTTCCTATCATGCTGTACAAACACTGAGTATTCAACTGTGTCAGTCGCTTTCCGTTAGAGGGTCCAAGTGGCGAGGCGCTGGGAAGTTCTTTTGCAGACCGCCTGACAGTGCCGGCCTCAGGGCAGAAAACCACCTGCCCAACAGGTAGGCTACCGCCCTTGGGTAACATCCCCTAAACCAGGCAGACGCTCCGAGAGACACATTCTAAGTCTGAGCACCGCCTCGAGCTCCCGTCGGAGGTCGCAACCCTCCAGGAGACGGTCGCCTCCACCGCTGCCCTCTGAGGGCCCTGGGGCGGGCCCTACCGGCTCCCGCTTCCCCCCAGGCCCAGCAGGGACCGGGAGCCAGAAGGAACCGAAGGGAGAGTCCCGAGGCTGCCCGGTCCCGCCGCGTCCGCGGCTCCGCGCGTCACGCGGGGAAGGAGTTACCGGGAAAGGGCACCGGCCTAAGCGGCTGCAGCGTCCGAGATCCAGTTAGTCCGCCGGCCGGGAGCCTCAGGTCCACACCAGCGCTCGCCGGGGCCTGGGGAGGGGAAGAAGGAGGGACTGCCTGAAGGGAGTCACGTGATACTTAAAGGCCCAGCGCAGAGGCGGCAAAGACTGAGCAGGTGGAGGACTTCTCGTTTGAGAGTGTGTTTTGACCCTTGCTACACACCGTCTGCGCGTGGACCTAACGCGGTTACCACGGGAACGAGGCGCGCTCTATGGCTGGATCAAAAAAGATAATCATTACCAAAGAGGTCAAGACGTGCCTCCTAGCGAGGCTAAGTCGCGGTGCAGGATGGGATGCCAAAAAGACCTCCCCGATCCAGGGAGGAGTTCCCAGTCCTACCAAGAGATGGCCCTGGTCTAGCAACAGTTGCTAGGGTGGGGAAGCAATCATTGGTCTCGGCTCTCTTTAAGCCTATTCATAGAATCCTAGAGCGTTAGAGTTGGAAGAGACCTCAGGGATCCTTTCTAGTCGAACTCTTCCATAGGCTGATGGGGAGACTGAAGCCCAGAGAGGAGCAGGGACTTTCCCAAGGCCTGGAACTCAGGACTCCTAAACCCATTTATTAAAAAGCGAACTCCACCTTACAATGTGCCAGTCCCTGCCCTTAGCACAGGAAAGGGATGTGCGTGTATGTGGTGATGGTTGTTGGGGAGGAGGAGAGGCACAGGTAAAGGAGGGAAACTTTCGCTGAGCCAACGCAATAGGTTCCTTAGAGATACAAAGATTTCATATCTCCCTGCTCCGTTTTTATTTATTTTTATCTCCTTTTATCACTATCTAACCTAGTACATCTTTTGCTTTATCATTTGTCTCCTTCTACTGGAATGTAAGCTCCCAACGGCAGGCTTTTGTCTGTTTTGTTTTTTTTTTCTTTCCACCTCTGTATTTTCGGTGCCAGCGCAGACCTTGGCACAAACAGGATCGCAATAAATATTTGTGAAGTAAATGAATGAATGGGGCTGAGGTTTTGCTGCTTAAGAATATGCTTTCTAAGGTGGACTCCCGGTTAAGAGTGTGGACTTTGAGTCAGATTCAAGTTTAAATCTTGCACGCCTGCCACTTACTACCTTTCATTTCCTTGAGCCCCAGCGTCCGCATATGTAAAGTAGGGGAAAGTACTTTCTTGGCACTACTGTAGTCAAGGATAAATGAAGTAATTGAATGTAAAGTGGATAGCTCAATGGCTAGGACTTAGCAAATGCTCAATAAACGGGAGCAATTACTTTTCAAATGTGGAAATAAGTCATACGAACGGGGGGTTCAGAAGGCTAGATTTCGGCCGTTTTTTTCCTTTGTGGTGGGAGGTTCTAGGGTGGGATAGAGGGAAGAGAGTAATGAAACACCATGTAAGGTGGGCTTGGTTGGAGGAGACCAAGTTTGGAACACTGCATGAAGGGCGGGTGGCAGATTTACGGTTTTAATGGGAGCAGGGGAGGGGGCTCAATGGGAGCCTTACGGGGAAGGGGCTTGAATGGGGTGGGGCAGACTGTGGCTCCAAGCTCGGTTGTCTCTTACTAGCAGTGAGACCCCGGCCCCCGGCCCCCCCGCCGCCCCCCGCGCCCGCTCCGTAAAAGCGAACTGTCCTGAATTTTGGGAGGGGGCAAGCAGCAGTTAACGCGGGACGTGTCTGGGGCGCGGCAGAACTGCGGGCGGGGTGTTGACGCGCTCTGTGCCCTGGGGGCGGTGCTTAGCGCAGAGGCTGAGTCTTCTGAACTGGAGGTGGCCTGGCCTAGGGGGCGAGGGAGATACCGGGGCGTGGTGCAACGCTGTGGCCCGCCCTTGGGCGGGTCCTGGGGAGCTGATAGGGCGTGGTAGCCGAGGCCCGGAAGTGGACGGGGACGGCCCGGGTCCCCGCCGCCTACCTGCCATGGATGAGGCTGACCGAAAGCTCTTGCGGCGGTGCCGGGTGCAGCTCGTCGGCGAGCTGCAGGTGGCCGATCTCTGGGACGCTCTGTTGAACCGCGAGCTCTTCACGCCGGACATGATCGAGGATATCCAGGTGCACCCCCGCCTCCTCCCAGCCTGCGCCCCGCTTCCCTTTCCGTGCGCAGACTTCTCTCACAGTTGGGGATGGCGAGGCCGCGCAGAGAGGGATGCTGGAGCCATAAAGTAACTTAATGGCCGAGCTCCCCCGGCCTTTAGGAAACCATTGTGTAGGAACCCCGTTTTTCCTCAAGGTGCCGAGCCCTCTAAATTGCCCAGCCGAACCAAGCAATCCTAGACACCGACTTGCTAAAGCGATTCCGTGCCCTGCACCATCAGCGTGCACTGTTAGCAGCTGCAGCGCTGTGCTTTTGCCAGGAAGCAGGCATGTTTGTTTTCTCCTTCTCTAGCATGAAGGTCCACGGCACCCACTTGGGTGACAGACTGCCTGGCACCCTGTCCTTGGGCGATCCACACCCTCTTTGAGCCAGTTTCCTGGGCTGTGAAATGGGGACAGCGGTAGCATTGCCCTGAGGGCTAACCGAGATACAGGATATGAAACAGTGGAGTGCCAGGCACAGAGGAAGGGCTCCTCTTTGGCCAGCCCTTCACGTGTTAAGTTTATGTTTTGTAAGGGGTTTTTGGAGATGAACCGCCTTATGCAGGTAACGGAGGGAAGAGTAGAATGAAACATTGACAATCCTCTTTAAAAGCACTTTGATGTCTTGGTCTTATTTGACCCTCGCCACAGGCCTGCATGATGGGTACAGGAGGGATTTGGGACCGTGAGGTGCAGCGGGTGTGCGTGGCTTCCTGAAGGCCCCCGGGCCAGGACCCTGTGGGCTACTTTCAGGCTGAGTGTGCAGTTCCTGCCTCATCCAGGAGCCTGGCCTGACCCAGTGGGAAGTCTTTAATAGAACAAGTGCCATTTGGAAAATTAGCAATGAATGATAATATTAAAAGAAGTCTTAGGAACACCAGCTATGTGGCCTGTACTGAGGAGTGGGAAGCCATATCCTTGCCTTTAGGTACATTCACAGGGGTCACCAACAGGAATGCCTGCGGAGCCCAGTGGGTGGGCACTGCAGTGGGTGGCCTCGGTCCTGCCCTCCAGCTCAGGCTGGGTGTGGTCACAGCCCGATGCTGGTCCAGTATTGCCAGATCTTCCATGCTGTTAAAAAGAAGCTGGGGATCTTGATTTTGATATCAAATGACCTGACTTTAAATATGAGCACAAATGCAGAATTTTTAAAGAATGCAGTGTGTATGGTGGGTGCCATTTCACCACACCTAGCCTGAGAAACACACAGGCTTTGGGGCCACGGGGAGGTGGGCCCTCGTCCTGGCTTTGTTATATATTTACAAGTTCCAGCACTTTTTGATGACTGTCTTTCCCTCTTCGGGGATAATTGTAACTTAAAGTTGTTGAGGGAGACTATGTGAAAGATGCATTTAACAAGTGTCTATCTTATTGTGAGTGTACAGTAACTCTTGAGAGAAATCGAAATACCACAGTTTACTTGCAGAAGTAAGCAGAGAGCAGTTTTGCTACTAAGAATTATCTTTTCAGTGATACTGTAGGTCCCTGCTGTTCAATATAGGAGCCATTAGCCACGTGTCACTATTTAACTGTAAATATGAAGTAATTAAAATTAAACAAAATAAAAAATTCAGCTCCCCAGTCGTAGGACCTAAGTGCACAGTAGCTGCATGTGGCTGACAGCTGCCGTATTGGACAGCTCAGAGAAAGGACAGTTCCATCTTCGTGGAAAGTTCCCTTGGACAATGCTGCTGCAGAACATTTGGGGACAGGGTGGTATCTTAACCCCTCCCTGAGGAACTTTCATAGTGCTGGGTCTTGAAGGACAACCAGCAGGTAACCAGTATCTTCTTCTTGCTCCCACCCTGCCTCCTATCTCAGTACCTGGCCTCCCCGTCCCCACATCTGCTGCTCTTGACCATTTTTCCATCTTCACAGTCCACCCAATCAGTCGCCAGGCCCTGTTGAGGCTCCCTCCTTATTTCTCTAGTCTGTCCTCTGGCTTCTCTCTCTTCCAGCGGCCCCATCTTTGCCGCCAACTGACCGGGCTGTGGCTCACTCCCTGCCTGGTCCACCCTGCCCCCCAGAGTGGTTTTTCTAAATGGCAGATTTGACTCTGTCATCCTCTTCTTAAAACTCCTCATTGGCTTCTCACAGCTTTCTTGGCATGACCACACAGATGCCTCGTTCCTCACTGCTATTCCCCACCCCAACTTACATTTCCCATTTCTCTGAATTCACTTTTTTTTTTAAGACAACACATCTTTATTCTCTTACATTCTAGAGGTCAAGAGCTGAAAGCGAGTCCTAAGAGATGAATACCATGGTGTCAGCGGGGCTGCTTCCGTCTGGAGGCTCAGCGGGGAACCCATTCCTTGCCTGCTGCAGCTTCTAGAGGCTGCCAGCATTCCTTGGCATGTGGCCACATCACTTCAGCCTCTGCTTTCCTCTTCACGCCTTGCTGTTCCCTTCTTAATGTTCCCTCGTGCCTCAGATATGACCCCTTGCTGGAAGTCTCTTTTACTGTACAGGACTGAGTTGTGCACCCCGTACCCTCCCAGTCCCATGTCCTTTACCTGCAATACATTTCTCCTTGCTGTGTCCTTGCTGACTTGTCTGTTTGCATTCCCCATGTGCCGTTTACTCCTTGAGGATTGAGATTGTTTGCTGCTGTATTTTTAGCACTTAGCACAGCACTGGGCACAGAGTAGATGCCTCCAAAGTACTGAATGAATAGATACGCAAAGGCAGGACCAGTTTTTACTCACATGCCTCATTGTTTAGATTTATGCTATCAGGGAAATAGGGGGACAAAGTGAGAGTCACAGGAAAGTGTGGGAGTAATAGTGCCATGTCTTTCTTTCCAAACAGAGGGCAGGCTCCGGGTCTCGGCGCGATCAGGCCAGGCAGCTGATCATAGATCTGGAGACCCGAGGAAGTCAGGCCCTTCCTTTGTTCATCTCCTGCTTAGAGGACACAGGCCAGAATAGCCTGGCTTCATTGCTGAGAACAAGTAGCCAAGCAGCAAAGCGGGGTCCGGAGGCCATCAAACCCCGGGACCTCATGCCTGTGGTGGTTGGACCAGTGGGCCTCAAAGCAGAGGAGCTGAGAGTGGTGAAGCAGGATCCACCAAAGCTGACCCCAAGCAAACTCACACCAGTCGTGCTGGGGCCAGAAGAGCTCTGTCCTGCCAAGCTCAGACCAGAGGTTCTCAGACCAGACATGCCCAGGCCAGTGGATGTTCCTTCTGGGGGATTCGGTGACGTCCGTGAGTACTGAGCGAGTGGCTGGGAGGTGGGTGTGACCATTGGTACAGCCAGGCAGGCTGAAATTCAGAATTTAATTTTGGTGCTGTTCTTCTGAGAACTCAGAGGGTATGGGTGGAATATTCTGGTAAGTCTTCAGAAGACTTAATCTTGGCAGCCCCTCCTCTGAAAAGCATGTATTCTTTTCTGAATGGATAATTTCAAATGACTTGTCTTCGGCCTCACAGATTCTTTCTTCAGTCTCACAGATTCTTTCTTCTGTTTGATCAAGTCTGATATTGATGTTCTCTCTTGCAATTTTTTTTTTCATTTTATTCATTGTGTTCTTCAGTGCCAGATTTTCTGTTTGTTTTTTCTTTTACTATTTCTAGCTCTCTGTTAAATTTCTCTGTTTGTGTGCTGTTTTCCTGATTTCATTGACTTGTCTTTCTGTGTTTCCTTGGAGCTAACTTGAGCTTCCTTTAAACAATGATTTTGAATTCTTTATTGGGCAAATCTCAGATTTTCATTTCTCAGGGGTTGGTTACTGGAAAATTATTTGGTCCTTCAGTGGTGTCATGGTTTCTTGATTTTTCATGTTCCTTGAAGTTTTGCGTTGCTGTCTTTGTGTTTGAAGAAATATCGCTTCCTCCAGTCTTTACTGACTGGCTTCTTTAAGGAATCTAATCTTGGACTTTTTTTTTTTTTTTGCATTAGCAGTGTGCTGGAACTTTTCAGTGGACTCTGAACTTCCACAAAGGCACGCTTGTCCATGGGTGATTGTCAACCTTGGTGTTCTTTGTGGGGAAAGGCAGTAGAAAATTCTTATTCTGCCATTTGGATAATGCTACTCTCTCACTTTGGGGATCATATTTGAGCATTTGAATAAATTCTTCAGTAGTCGAGAGTCGTTATATTTTGGGGGTGCAGTGGAATTTTGGAAGTGAGCAATAATTTCAGAATTAAGTCTGTGGACTAATAGAAGCCTTCAGGCTAGGGAAAACCTTTTTTAAAAAAAAACATAGGATGTGAATGCTTTCCTGGTGTGACTTTTAAACTGGCGAGAGAGTAGTTCCCAACAAGGGGTCCAGGTTTTGCTGTGAGCAATGAATATCACCATTGTTGGATCATGAATGTAGGTCCCAACATGTGCTAGAGGTAGCCCCTATTTTTTCTTTGCTTAAAAAGAAAAAGTATCCCATGACCCTATAGGCTGGTAGCTTGTTGCCTTTTAGCTAATGGAAATGAAAACTCTTCTGACATTGAAGGAATAAACGACCATTTTACTCATTTATTCATTTTGCAAAAATTTCCTGAGGACCTACTGTGTGCTGGGTCCCTGGGATTCCACAGAGTGGTGGTATCTACTCTCTGGGAGCTTCCCTTATTCTCTTTTGTTCTAGAATTTTATATAAACGGAATCTCCCCACATATACTTTTATGGCTGTTTTACCTCGGTGTGATGTTTTTGAGATTACCCACGGTGTGGCATGTATCAGTGGCTCCTTCCTGTGTAGGCTGTGTGGTGCTCCTTTGTCTGGTTTATCTGTTGACCTATCGACGGACAATTGCATTGTTTCTAGATTGGCCATTATGAGTAGGTCTTTGGTGAACATTGGTGGCCAAGGCTTTTTGTGTCCATTGCATTCATTTCTCTTGGGTATATGTACACCTTGGAAAGGAATTGGTGGTTGGAGGGAAGGTAGGCATTTAATTATTGGAAACTTCTAAATAGTTCTCCAAGGTGGCTGTGCCTCTTGACTCCCGCCCACCAGCAGTGTCTGAGGGCCCCCAAGTTTCCACTCCTACATGTCTGTGGGGCTGTCCTCAGAGTCCCTTGCCCCTCCTCTGTTGGACCCTGACATTCCCTCTTTGTCTCTCCCCCCGCAGGTGCTCAGGAGAGATTCAGGGGAAGCGCTGATCTGGTGAGCCTTCCTGGGATTTGGGGCCAGTGGCGTTGGCTTTGGTTCCTTCTACTCCTTGTGCCCCAGGTCCTTTCCTGCGGCTGTGTCAGGAGCCTGGGGAGCCCAGCCCAGCTGGGGAGAGGCTCCTGGTCCCAGGCCCCCTCCAGCTCCCTGACTCGGGCATAGCTCCTTCCGGAGCAGAGTGTCCAGCCCTGCTCTTCCCTCATCTGTGAAGTCGCATTATCCAGAGTCGGCTGTGGCCTTGCCCTGACCCCCAGTCCGAGTCACTGACTCTCATTCACAGCACTTACTGTGTGACTCCTGTGTGCCAGCCCCGGCCTCTGCTGGGGTGCCTGGGGTCAGACCACTTCTGTTTCTCGCCCTCATGGGGCCATCAGCCTAGCAGAGGCTAGTTCTAGAAAGAAATATAGAAATCTTCAATATAAATAGTGTGACGCACCATAAACAAAAAGAACAGGCTGCTGTGAGAGAGGATTATAAGGCACACATCGAGCCCGCGGCGGCGGGGAGTGGTATTGGTGCTCCAAGGTTGGGCCAGGGCACAGGCCTGCCCAGAGTCGCCCACACAGTTCTCGGGTGCTCCCCTGGACTGGGCGGGCTGTAAGGTCCTTTTGGGGCGAACGTCTGTGGGTGTCGTGTTTCTAAGCTAGCAGCTCCTATCCCTGAATGCTGTGATGGGAGCTAGTCGGCTCTCCTGAGCTTAGCTATCTGTACACCGCACGGCTCGCGCTCACCCCGGTCTGGTTGCAGCCTGCTGGCTTGTGCCCTGCAGTGCTGGGTGTAGACTCTGCTATTCCTTCAGAGGGAGGGCACACCCCATCTTTTGTGTCATCGCTCCAGACTGTCAAGCACACGAGTGAAAACCAGGGGGCCGCCTGCCCCCCTGAGGAATGCAGTGAGACGCTGGCTTACGTTGCTCGCTGTGCTTGGGCAGGCGTACGTCCTGAATGCAGACCCCTGTGGCCACTGCCTCATTATCAACAACGTGAACTTCTCCCCGACGTCGGAGCTCAGCACCCGCTCCGGCTCCAATGTCGACTGTGAGAAGTTGCAGAGGCGCTTCCACCTGCTGCACTTCACGGTGGAGGCGAAGTGCGACCTGACTGCCAAGGTACGGTCACCGTCCGTGCAGACAGACAGGGACCCTGAAGCAAGCGACTCCCCAGCACTAGCCCTTCAGTCAGTGGGACCATGAGAGACAGTACCGCTCCGTGGTTGCCGCGTTAAACTTCAGACTCAGGGAGACGTAGGTGGGGGACTGGCTCTCCCGGTACCTGCTGGGTGACCCCTGAGCCTCCGTCTCGTTGTCTGAACAGCCAGGACAGGACTCACCTCCTGGGTCATTGTGAGGGTTAAATGAACAGAGCCCAAGCACAGCACCCTTGCCCAAGAATGGTGGCTGTTGTGACTGTTAGTTAGGACCGTCATTACTTCAGTACTGGCGCTGGGAGCAGGGAAGGTGCTCCGCCCCATATGCAGGTGGGTCCAGGGTGGGGACCTGATCCGTCAGGGCTCTGGCTCACTGCTACCTTCTTTTCGTAGCAAATGATCCAGGCTCTGGTGGCGCTGTCGCGGCGGGACCACGGTGCCCTGGACTGCTGCGTGGTGGTCATCCTCTCTCATGGCTGTCAGGTGGGGGCGCTCAGCTTCCCGGGCAGGCACCTGGGAAAGGCTGTACAGACAGGCCGGGGGGCGGGGGGGAGCCCTGTCCCTTCCTGTGCCCCGGACACCCTTAGCTTTGTGGGAAGAGCCATGGGGCCCTGTCCGCCTCCCACTGTTTTCTTGGGAGCCATCTGGCCCTCTGAGGAGTTGCATTTTCCACTTGGGTGAAAAGGCACCTGGGAGAGGCAGGGAGGAGACAAGCCTTGCTCACAGCGCCTATCCCTGGATTTTGGTCACAGATGGCACAGCACACAAGAGCTCCCAGCTCCTCCCTCGGGCCAGCTAGGCATGGTCTGGGCCCTTTGTTGCTGGCTGGGAGTCAGGACACTGGGACCCACTCTGGGCTCGGCCACTAATGTGCTGAGTCATTGTGCTCAAGGCTCTTCCCCCTCCTGGGCCCCAGTTTTTTTTATCTTTTAAGTTGAGGGTTGGAAAGGTCAGAGGTTATAAGCTGGAGGCCTGTAGCCCCTCTCTGGGTTATATAGTGTTTTTTAATCTGATAGCTTTCACACCAAAATTAGGATTTCTAGCTTTTCTTGAAAAACCACAAAAGTCTGGCTTTACCAGGCCTGCATCCTCCCAGAGCGTGCTCTGTGGCCGGTAGGTGGGCAGGGGCTGCCCCCTAGGTTGTTCCCTTCCACTGTGGCCCCCGGAACAGCAGTGTGGGCATCACCTGGCAGCTGGTGACATGAAGACTCCCGCACCCCCACCCCCCGCACCTACACATAAAGCCTGAGAAGAATTGCTCTAGAGCGGTGCTTCCCAGCGTTCAGCTGCGTCAGAGGCACCTGAAGGACCCTGCTGCGGGTCTCCTCTATCAGGTTTCTGATCGAGGAGGTCTTGGGGGGCCCCCGGGATCTAGATGTCTTACAAGTCCCTGGTGATGCTAATGCTGCTGGCCTGTGGGGGCCACTGATTGAGAAGAAGCTAGCTGGCACTTTCCAGTGAGGCTTTCTCGGCCCCTTGTGAGTTTAGACCCTTGGAATGGACGCTGACCAGGGCCCATCCAGAGCCAGCCTGCTCTGTCTAGGTCAGCCTTGTGCCCCTGGCTGGGACCTCCTAACTTCTTGCCCTCCCCCACCACTCCCAGAGCCTCTGAATGGTGTGTTGGACTCCTCCCCAGCTCCTTGGTTTTGTAACCAGCATTCTTGGTCTTCCAGGCCAGCCACCTCCAGTTCCCGGGGGCCGTTTATGGCACAGATGGCTGTCCTGTGTCCATCGAGAAAATCGTGAACATCTTCAATGGCAACGGCTGCCCCAGCTTGAGAGGGAAGCCCAAGCTCTTTTTCATCCAGGCCTGTGGCGGAGGTAAGCTGGTCCTCGCCCCCGCAGAAGAACCGAGTGGGGAAGGAGCCGCTGCCCCCTGCTCCCTTCACATCGGCCCCTCACGATGTCCATGGGGTCTCTCCAGGCATCAGAGGGTCCCAAACATGGTCGCTGCTGTCTGAATGGCAGCACCTGCACCTGGCTGGAGTAGGCCTCAGCTTTGTCCAGCCTTTAGAGGTGAGAGCCTTGGTCTCATAGTGCAGTGGGATCAGAGGCCCACACAACTTTGGCAATTTCAACTCCAGAGACTTGACAACAATAAACCAAGTGGAGGAGAAAAGAAAAACTTTCTTTTCCTGGCCTCCATCCACTAGGCCTCCTTTCCACTACCCCAGGGAAAGGGAGGCCAGCTTTCTGGGAAAGTTACAGGTAGCCGGTCTTGTAGCCCTGGGCCCACCCCAACGTCCCCTCTCAATAGCACGGGGGAAGTGTGCCATGTCTTTGGACTCCTCAGGGGGACGTACAAGGCCCTCGGTGACCTGGCCCGGCCACTTTGCTTCCCTAAGCCTGGCACGCTGTGCCCGCCCCAGCACTGCTCAACCTTCCCAGGGTGTCACGGGCTCTGGCTTGCCCTTCAGCCTTTCCATGTGCCGTCCTCTGCCTTGTCCCCTGGCCACTCTTCATCACCCATCCTTCTGACTACCATTTACTGTCACCACCTCCAGGAAGTCTTCCCTAAACACCCGCTTCTGTGAGCAGTCAGGGTTAGCTGGCCCTCGTCCTCCTGCAGCTCCTGTCCTTTCCTGTCATAGCACCTTCCCAGGGTGCTGAGACAGCCTCCTTCCCTGGTCAGCCCTCCCGGGGCAGGGCCGGGCCGATCTGCCCTGCAGCCGCGTCCTGGCCTGGCACAAAGCTCACAGTTGCGTTGCATCTTATGTGGATTCTAGTTATTTGAATTTGAATTGGAAATAGAACCATATAAAAATATCTTTGAGTAAAATTTGAAATAATGTAAATTCCCACCATGAAAAAACTCAACCCCCTGGGAAGAGCAGGGTTCCAATGCTGGACGGCAGCTGCCTTCGGAGTCCTGGTCCCTGCGTAGCACACAGCAGGCTGTGTGACCTTGTGGTTAACGCTGCTGCCACACGGGGGCGGCCTGTCAGCTGAGAACAGAAATACAGAACGCTCCGTGATCTCTCAGTGTCTGGCGGGGTGTCCTGTTTACTTGTGTCAGAAAGTCTGTCCTGGATTTTGGTGACTCTTACATTGCTATTTTAAAGTTCACTGTTGTTACAATTTAAAAATCCTCTAACATCCTTCAGTGAGAGGCAGTGCGGGTGCCAGGGTGGAAAAACCTATGCCCAGGTAGGTCCCTTGGGTGTCGAATGTCAGTAAGCAGCATGAGGCAAGGTGACAGACAGCGTGGTGATGCACTTGGCCAAAGCTGCGCAGCCTCCATTGGGCCGAGCTGTTGACTTTGGGTGCCCTGTGTTCAGAATTGCAGAACTCAGGCTGGGAAGCAGCGGGAAGCTCCATATGCTGCGGTGGCCGTGAGTCGTGTGTGCAGGGGGACAGCATCCCTTCCTGCTGTGTGTTCACGCTTGTGGGGAAGTTAGTCCTGCCTAATGCTGGGGCGGGCCGGGGGAGGTGGTTTGAATTATCAAGGCTCTTTAAGAACAAGGCTGTGCATGAAGTGCATAACCTTGGAGCTAGGCCTTCCCATCGGATTTGTAGAATGAGGACGACACCTGAATGAACACAGTCTAGTGTCCTCTCTCTGACCCACTCTTTTTTTCCCCCTCGTCCCCTCTCAGGTCCTATTGTGTCCGCTCCGTTTTTCACGGGCAGCCCCTCTGCCCAGCCCGTCCCCTGAGGCCATTCCTAAGTCATGCCACTGAAATGCCCTATCCCCCAGCTGCACAGGCCGCCCAGGGGGACCCAGGGGCCGTCCCATGCTCACGTCTCAGGTCCCCTCCATTGTTCCACTGAAGCCATTCCCAGACGCCTAGGGCAGATTCCAGAATCTCAGCCAAGACAATAACCAGAAGCAGTGACCTCAGTAAGCAATGGCCCAGTGCTCACACATCTCAGGCCGCCTTGGCAGAAGCCCGGCCCCTGCACGGGGGTGTGGGACGCAAACAGACGACCAAGTTTCTAAGCTTCAGCTGTACAGGGGCAGAGGTCAGTGGATGTTGGTGTTATTATGGGGTTGCCACAGCCATCTCTGTCTCCCCTTTGTCTCCTGTGGATGGGACCCCGGCTTCCCTGGGTGAACTATGACCTCCCTCCCTCCTGGCTGTTTCCCACCGTAGATCCAGCCACGTGGACTGCCTGCTCTCCGGCCCAGGGGCCTGCCTGGCAGGTGCCATTTTTTTCCGACCAGGACTCTTTTCCCATCTCACATCAGAGGCTGGGACCCAGTCCCCAGTCCCGAGTCTCCCCCCACCCCAAGGAGCCCTCCGCACCACTCTACCTCTGCCTGTTTTTCCTGAAGTCTCCTTAGCTTTTCCTGAAGCTCTTCTTCCTGGCGTAGCCTGGGGTGCCCTGCAGGGGGGTCAGCTGCCCAGGAACTCATCCCAGGAGACCTCCTGCAGTGTCGCCACTCTGATGACTGGCTGAGCTGTGTGCGGCCTGAGCCCCGCCTTGACCCCTCTGTTGTCCAGCTGTCCGCCGCTTTGGAGGAGTTTGGATTTTAAAACTGAAAAGATAGAAAATATGACAACTTAAAATCATCCAGAATCCTGCGAGCCTGTCCTCACTCGGCCCAGGGGCTCAGTCTGCTTTTCTCATCTGACGTAATCCCTTAAGCACGTCCCCGTGTCTCCAAGGCCTTCATCATCGCTAGGTCAGGCGGTTTTCTAACCTTCTGTTTCAGGGCCACGCTCTCACTTACTAAACTGTTCCGAACATTGGCTGTTCGGGTGATACCCAATTTATGGCTCTCTTGACCACAAGGATATTTAAATAGAGGGCTTCTGGCTCCACATAAATTATTTCCCTAGGAAATGACGGGGTCAGAAGCTGAGAACATCTCCACGGCGCCTGTTATCTGTGAGTCGATGCCTTCTGTGATGACATGAAAGGATTGGAAATAGCTTCAGAAGTACGAAGGGTATCATAGAACAAAATAGAGGGAATGCGAGGGAGAGTAAGTTTGGAATGTACACACGCATCCTCTGAGGTCCTGCCTGCCTGTAGAGGGGCCTAAGGTAGAGCCATGCCAAAGATCCACCTGCTGCTCTTAAGACAGAAGCCAGGAATGGTGATCTTTCTCCCCTCGGTTGTCTTAACGGGCGCAGTGTGATATCATAGACAGTTTCTTCAGTGCTATTCCTACCAAAAAAAAAAAAAAGAAAGATGAGTTTCATATGCTGTTTAATTTTTTTAAAAAGATTTTATTTATTTTCAGAGAGAGGAGAAGGGAGGGAGAAAGAGAGGGAGAGAAACATCGATTGGTTGCTTTTTGCTCACTCCCAACTGGGGACCTGTTCTGCAACCCAGGCATGTGCCCTGACAGGGACTCAAACTGGCGACCTTTCAGTTTGCAGGCCGGTGCTCAGTCCCCTTAGCCACACCAGCCAGGGCTATATATGGTGTTTTTAAAAAATCTCTCCCTCTCTTTCTCCCTCCGTTCCTCTCTCTAAACATAAATAAATAAAATCTTTAAAAAAAATCCAAGTCTTAATACATGTTTGCAAAGTTTGGGCGTTTTTTAAGTTGAGATGGGAGCACCCCCTTGGATATCTGCCCATCTGTTGATGGACACGTGGGTGGTTTCCACCTTTTGCCTACGTGAATAATACTGCTGTGAACTTTTGTATACAAGCTTTTGTTTGCACACCTGTTTTCAATTCTTTTGGGTGTACACCTTGTAGCTTTTTATAGCTGTGTTTTAAGTTTATGCATCTTCCCACCCTTTGCCCCTCAATTTTACTTAATGAATGTGTAAAGCTTTTGTTGTAGAAAAAAGCAAAGCATCTATTTCAGTTTCCTGCTCCTGTTCGCCCTTCTCTCAGGGGAACCAGGCGGCCTTGGGGTGGGGGCAGGCTACATGGGGTGGGAGATCTGAGGTGGGCTTCAGTGACCAGTGGTATCTGTTTTTCTTACAGATCAGAAGGACCGTGGGTTTGAGGTGGTCTCTGCTTCCCCTGAGGACAGGGATACCGGCAGTAACCCGGAGCCAGACGCTGCCCCGTTCCTGGACAACCCAGGCAACTATGACCAGCCGGATGCCGTGTCGAGTTTGCCCACGCCAAGTGACATCTTTGTGTCTTACTCCACCTTCCCAGGTGAGCGCATCAGCCAGGGGGTCCCCCCACCTGTTTTAGAAGCAATTGTGTTGCGAGAGAGAACACTGGGGCGCAAGTCTTCATTCTGCCTCCGGCCGCCTCTGTGACCCTGAGCAAGTTCCTTCACCTCTCTGAGCTGGGGTCAAGGCCGGTGAGGCGCCTAGGATACTACATTTAAGGAGTAACGCACCTTTGAGCTTGCGTGCTTCCTCCTCTCCCTGGCCTTGCCTCAGTTTTCTCATCTTTCAAATGGGAATAATAACCATACCTCAGGGGTTGTCATGGGGCTTAACAAAGGTGGCTGGCACATCACTGAGCACGGTGCCTGGCACATAGCAGGTGGGACAGGTATTAGTGTCCCTCCCGGGAGTCACTTGGCTTCTCTGAGACTTGGTTTCCTTGTTGGAAAACTGGAATGGTAACCGACGCCGGAGGTGGTGTGAGGAGAAAGTGAGGTCACAGTGGGGCAGAGCGCAGCGACGTGGGCCACTCTCGCTGGAGGTGCGCATGCGCGGAGTCAGGAGGCCCCAGCCCCTGCCCGTCTGCTGCGTGGGGCGGGGCGGCTCTGCGGCGAAGTCCAGCCTTTCTCCTCCCGCAGGTTTTGTCTCCTGGAGGGATCGCAATAGGGGCTCTTGGTATGTCGAGACCCTGGATGGCGTTTTTGAGCAGTGGGCTCACTCTGAAGACCTGCAGAGCCTCCTGCTCAGGGTGAGCCCCACCTTCCGGGAAGGAGAGGGGCGGCTGCTGGGAGGGGCAGGTGGTGGGGGGAGCAGGTAGACCAAAGGTGAAAGATGGAGAAAGCCCATCCACGTCTGCATCTTGGCTTGCCGCGAGTCAGTGCTTTTGCGTCTCTAACGCGAGATGTTACCGCCTGCAGTGACATTTGCCCCTTATTCCAAGGGCCGCCATCCTCGGCTTCTTTGAGGTCCCCAGGCTGACACCTTCCCCACCCCCCATTGAGAGCCAGTCCGCAGCACCAGGGTTGGCTGGCTCGGTGGACAGAGCATTGCATTCCTGAAGGCAGGTCGTGGGGCTGTCCCTGTGTCTCTGTATCTTTTGCCCTACTGCGTAGTCATCTCTCTCTCTCTTTTTTTTTTTATCCCCACCCAAGGACATGCTTACTGATTTTAGAGAGAGGGGAAGGGAGGGAGAGATGGAGAGAAATATCGATGTGAAAAAGAAACATCAATTGGTCGCTTCTTGTCCATGCCCTGATAGGGGATCGAACCCTCAACCTAGGCATGTGCCCTAACTAGGAATTGAACCTGCGGCCTTTCGGTTTACGGGAGGACACTCCAACCAACTGAGCCATACCAGCCAGGGCTATGCTTGACCCTCAAGAACCGTGAATCCTCTTTAGGGTGTCCCCTTCTCAGGAGGCCCCCAGTGAGGGAACAGGGAAGGAGGGCCTGACAGGGCCCCAGCCTTGTGAGTGAAATCCTGCTCAGAGCTGCCGCTTCCCCCGAGGGTCCCAGAGCACCCGTTGGCCCCTCCTGCTCCGCTCAGGTATTTTTGTGCCTCAAGAAGGGGCTGGGGCCACTCCTTCTCTTCTGAGGAGGCTGTGGCTCTGTGCTTTGCTGAGCGGAATGGAGATGAGCAGCCAAGTGCAGGGCACCCACGTACCATGGCCCTGGGCAGGGGACAGCCGAGGCAGCCCGGGGCCCGTGGGCTCGGGGTCAGGGCTAGGCCGTGCCCTCGGCTCCTGGGCCCTGTCGCTTCTCCCAGCGTTTCTTCGAGCAAACCTTTCAGTCTGATTTGAGCTTTGTAAATTCTTGAATTTTGAAATTTTGAATTCTGAGTTTTCTAAACTTATGGTTGAGGTGCTTACTTTTTAAACCCCTGACCTGCCCCCCCCCCCGCCCCCCGCGCCAAGGAGGCGGCAGTTAGAGCCGTTTAAAAGCGCTTATTCAGGGCACATCCCCCCAGCTCCTCCTCGATTCCAGAGCCCAGAGGAATTCCTACTTCCATGGAGAGAACTCACAGACCTCCGTGTGGTTGTGTTTTCACAGGTCGCTCATGCTGTTTCAGAGAAAGGGATTTACAAACAGATCCCTGGCTGTTTTAATTTCCTCCGGAAAAAACTCTTCTTTAGAACTTAAAGAAGCCATGGCCCTTGACCCTGCTTTACCTTTGACCCCCAAACCTCCCTGCCCCATGTCGACTGAGACCTGGGCTCCCCTTCAGCTGCGGCTGCCACGGGTTGTGGCTGTCCCTGGTTGTAGCCCTTTGAGGGTCGGCTCCTCTCCACTGGCGGCAGAGCTCTCAGCAGCATCCAAACTGGGGACAAATGACTGATGACGGAGGAAGAGGAGTGGAGGGATACCGTGGACAATGTGCGGCTTTCACCGGTGGCTGGTTGCCTGGCTAGTGACCGCGTCTGTGATCCTTGTGTTTTCTCCGCAGCAGGGCTTCTCCGCCTCAGCATCACTGACATTGGGGGCCCCATAGTCTTTTGCCGGCAGTGGGTGTGTCCCGTGCAGGTGGGATGTTGAGCAGCATCCCTGGCCTCTACGCACGGGATGCCATTAGCCCCCCTCCCTGAATGGTGATGACCACAAATGGCTTCAGACACTGCTAAATGTCCCCTGGGGGCCCCCACCTGATAACCACTGGACTGTGGGAAGTTTTTAGCTAAGAATCAACCAACGTCTCTCTCACATCAGCAAGTCTAGGACTCCTGGAGCCTGAACAGCTGCCATCTGTGAATCTTAAGTAATGTCTTAAAAATTCCTTTTTCCTGTATTATACTATTCTTGAAAAAATAAATCTTAGGTGACTCTCTTTTGCCTGTTCCCCCCCTCATTTTGCTGCAAGCCTTTGTTCTTCCTTATAAAGGAGACTTCTGCTTTTTTTGAAACATTTCATTTGGTCCCCACTCCTGTCCCATCCCAGGAGGTGACTGAGGTGGGAACCACGTACTCTGAGAGGTCAAGTTGCTTGTCCGGGGAACACCATTAACCGGTGGGGAGACCTGCGTGGATCCTGGTCTTCTGAGTCCAGCCTGTGCCCCCAGGTGCCTTCCTGGCAGAAGGACCCTGCACTGCAGGGTGACCATGCTGTGGGACAGTGACATGTTGGGCTCCCCCAGAGAAGGCCCCAACCCTGAGGTCTCTGAAGCTGTCCTGACCCAGCCTCTTTCATGTTCTTAGAGCCCTGGGCATGTGGGTGGTTTGCTAATAAAACTCTCACCCAGAAGTGATTCACATAGTTGTCACTTTATTATTTTTCTTCTGTGACCTTCCCAGGTCTTCTGGTGGTTAGTTATTTGCCATCACCTGCGGGACACACACAAGAACTCAGCCAGGGTAACCGGCAGAGCGGGGCGCTGCGCGCTGCAGCGTCCTGGCTTTCTCCTTCCGGGCTCCGTGCTGCGCAGGTGAGCCGGAGGAGCGGAGGCTGTGACAGCTTCTCACCAGCCTGCTAGCGGAACTCCCACAAATTACATGTGTTACGGATTCCATGTGTTTCTCACAGGGGGCGGGCTCCAAAGTAGCAAACAAGTACCACTGCACAGAGCCGTTAGGACACCGTGGGTGGGGCTGTAAACCTGTTTTGAGAGGCTGTTGAACAGTTTTCTCTACAATGTTTTAACACACCAACTGTATGATCCACGGATACTTCTGGATCTCTTTAGCACGTAACCAGCGTGCAAGAATGGACGTCCCAGGGTGGCCATTGTGTAGAGTGAGAGCGGAAAATAGGAACCAGGTGGAAGCCTTGTTCAGTATGGAATATTACTGAGCAGTTCAAAAGAATGCCATAAGTATGTGTGCTCACATGTAACATGATATGGTGTTAAGTGAAAAAAACTATGTTGCAGGACAGTATAAAGAGTAAAATCCTATTTTTGGTTAGAAGACTCTGTATCTGTGTGTAATGAAGTCCAGAAGATGACAGTGTTAACAATGAGTATCTCTAGTGGGGATGGAATTGGAGATGTAAGACAAGGGGGGACCTGTACTTTTTTACTTGATATGCTCCTGTATTTAAATTTTTTTATGAAGAGTATATATGACTTTCTAAAGTAAAAATAAAGTGGTGACTGTTGAAAGTTCAAGTGTTGTTGTCATTCAACAAACATTTGTTGGAAAGATGAGTGCCCTTGGCCACCTGTCTCCTCCTGTCACTTGCCTGCTCTTGCCTTTTGATGGCAGCTTCCTGACCTTGTAACCTGTCTGGGTTTGTCTGGGCAGGTGCTCACAAGCGCCCTTGGGCCGAGCCACTGCAAGCTTCCACCAGCCGCTCCGCAGCTGCTGGGTGGGCAGCCTCCACCAGAGGACAGCTGGGTGCTCGGCTCTGCCAGCCCTGGAGCCCGGTGCCAGGCGCGTGCGCCTGCCGGGCTGTGGTCCCGCGAGCCCAGGGCCTCTGCGTAGCTGCCTCCGAAGGCTCCCTTTCCCTGCTGAGCCCCTCTGACATCGGGCCATGCTTTCTGCTGTGGCCTTCTCCGTTGTGCTTGAGGCTGTGGCTGGGAACAGCTGACGCTGGGGCACTTGCCCCTGGCCCCTGCTTGGGGCCCCCAAGGTGCTGCCAGGGCCAGCTGTGCGGTGACTCATGCAGCAGCTGGGGCTGGGAAAGGATCCTAGGGTTTGTCTGGGAAAATGCTCTAAGCATCCTTCCGTCCAGTCGGTCTTGGGCCAGGCTCCTTTGACATGCTGGTGACACCTTAGAAGCCAGGCTCAGATTTACCCTGCCAAAATGGGAGTTGTGGCTTCCCCACAACTTGCCAACAACAACAACAACAACAACAACAAAACCTTACAAATGAATAGCTACTCTCTTCTTGATTTTACATTTTTCTCCCATAAACTCTTCTGGAATCTCTGGTGCCTGTGACCACTTGTTGTCAAAGAAATGCAGGCAGGCAGACAAATGAGCGAGGAACGGCGGGTACTAACGGGAAACATGGAGGCAGCCACCTGCTTGTTTTGACAGTGCCCATTTGACAGTGTCGTTCTCCTCCTGTGACCACATGCTCATGGCTGTGGTTTTATATTTGATTTTATAAGAGTGTCAGTTGAACAGTTCTCTGAAAATTAAAATACGGAAGGCAGACACCAGCTTCTCTTGCTGAGGGGCTTTACTGCAAACATCCAACCCCCACTGGCTCTGGCTCCTAAACACACGGAGGAGTCCGGGTCTCGTTCAAGCCCCGTTTTACAGAAGAGCTAACAGGCGGCGGTGATGCCAGGAGGTGGGTAACAAGCGCCCCTGATCGGCAGCGTGTGTCTTCTTCCCTCCCCACTCCTCCCTGCCTCAGTTTCCCCACACCCCTCGCACCCCCCAGGCCCTCCTTCCTTTTCGTGGTGCTCGCTCCCTGTTGGGGCTGCTGAGAACTGCTGCTGGCTGTAACTGGGGCTTCTCCTAATGCTGGTGCCAGTTTTTAAAAAATGATTTTCATGGCTTTTATTATAAAAGCGTGTCCTTGGTTAAAACAGGAATTGAGCTGGTGTGGAAGCTTGCAATGTACTGGTTTTGAGCTCCCAGGAGACAACTCTCTGGGGACACATTCACAATAATAGTGGGGACCAACTCAGTCCCATTTGCCTGGTCTGTCCCAATCTAAAATGTCAAGTTTTGCATCCTAAGAAACCTTCCAGATCGGTGCAAACCAAGATGGTATCACCTACCATCTGCATGTGGGGATGCTTTTAGCAAGGGGTCTTTTGAGGAGATAGCTTCCAATAATTAAGGCTGTGCGGGTCTCAACCCATCAGGTTCTAGACTTTGCAGATAAATACGTTTTCAGCCTTGGAGGGCTGCGTCTGGGTTTTATACACAGATAAGCCAAAATAGAATGCCCTACTCATCCTAAGAAGCCCGCTCTCCGTGCCCGAGGGGCGTCCTTTGCTTGCAACCTCTTTGGACAAGGCCTCCCTCTCCGTGCTGTTTGACTCAACTTTACCCACACAGAAATGGTGGGGGCCTGTGAGCGTTGCCCAGGTCTGCAGCCACCTCTAGGGGCCCCTGGCTGGCTCTCAGGGGGAAGGAGAGGGTTCTCAACCCCAGGTGGTCATTGCCCTGGTGGGGCCAGGTCAGAAGGGCAAGGCCCATGGGGCCGACGGCATGGCCGGTTCTTACCGAGTTGATCCAGTTGATGTAGCTGGAGACCCGGGTGAAGACAGAGGGCTTGCGGTAGTAGTTGCAGCCGAGGGATGACCCGAAGCTGACCACGCCGTGCACTTCCCACTGGCCGTTAGCGTTCCGGCAGTTCAGCGGTCCTCCGGAGTCTCCCTGAGGAAGGCCAGAGCTCTGTCAGCAGGGGCCTGGGAGCTTCGGTGGGTGATGTGAGGGGGAGGGGCCGCCCACGAGAGCCCCGCGCTTCGCATGTGTGTGGTACGTTTATATTGTTCCACCACCTGTTGCCATGGTCTCTGTGGCCAGTCCCTGTGGCCACAGCGCAGGATGGCACCGTAATAACCAATAAGACCTAACATGGATTCTTTCTGTGTGCCTGGAACTGAGCGAAAGCACTTTCTATACCTTATCTCATTTAATCCTCACCGAAACCTAGGAGGTAAGTGTTGTGAGTGTCCCCAGTTCACTGAAGAGGAAGCACTGGAGCCCTTAGACTAGGTTGTGACTGGCCTGAGGATGTACAGGCAGCAAGTGAGGGAACCGAGACTGTGTCCCACAGTTAGAATGCCGTGCGCTCAACCACCCATGAAAAGAGACCTGCTGGGGCCGGTCTGCGTGGGGCAGAGAGTGTAGGGGCACAGTGTGATCATAAGGACACATGAGGCTTCACTCTGTCCTCACTCTATGATTGCTTTTGGTTAGGACACTGTCTCCAGGAAGGGGACACAATGTGCTGTTGATGGGATTAATTCAACAGATAAACTTGAAGTCACCTTAGAAAGGCCTTTACCCAGAGAATACATCCCCTTGGCTCTTTTCCTAAACAGAGGAAAGAGTAAGAGAGGTGATGGTAATGAGAGACCCAAATGAGACCCAAGGAAGGACTTCCCAGCAGTGAGGGGGTGGATACAATGAGGAACATCTCAAAACATCTTTTCTGGAGTCTACAAGGACAAAGGCCAGAGTCTTAAATGTCTGGAACTGTTTCCTGGGGCTTCTCCTAGCAGGTGGGAGGGTAGATTCTAGGAGCCCCCAGAGCCTCTCCCCACCCTCAGCCCCATTTCATTGTGGAGGGGTGGCTCCTGGCTTTCTGCACTCACATTGCAGCTGGAGATCACGCCATCACCCCCAGCACAGATCATACTGGTCTTCACGGAGCTGCCCCACCAGGCAGGGCTGGAGCATGTGGCATAGTCCACAACCAGCAGCCGGCCCTGCTGCAGGATGTCAGGAAGAGCTCCGCCGGCTGCATAAGATGAGAGAGAAGGTGTTACAGGGACAAAGGGACTCCTAAGAATACAGTAAGTAGTGGACACCTGCTAGGTTTTCTGCCCAGCCCTTTTTTCTAATCACTCTTACTTCCCATCCATCCATGGGTGCAATGGCAGCAGCCATGTTTGTTTATACCATGTCCTCACAGTTGATTGGTTCAGGGGTGAATAGCTAGCTGACTCAGCCTAAGCCAACGAGCCCCTTCCCTGGGAATCTGGGATTGGAACTAGGAAATCCCAGCCAGAGAGGATGTAAACCTGGGAGCTGCTGGCAGTGGCTGTCATTTTCTTCTAGGCAGAGAAGAATGAAGGAGATCTACCAAGAAAGAAATTTTGAGAAAGGGTTTCTGGAGCTTTTTAGTCTTCCAGCCCCTGATTCTATCCTGTTCCCGAAGGCTGGCTGTGTCTCTCCTCTTTGTTGAGACCAGCTAGCTTCATGGGTTTCTATCACTTACCTTAAATAAAACAGTGAACCTGCTGGCATTTGGGGCCCCAAGTTGGGAAAAATATTCTAACGTGGTAAAGGTAGAGCTTTCCTAATGGCCCTTAACGACACTGTTACCACCTCCTCCATCATTATTATCATTGCAACTTATGGCAAGAATTAATAGTATGATAATTCTTCACTGGTGCTCTATTAGGTGTTTCAAAACACGCTAAACCTCAAAGTAAATGTATATTCCTATAGGACAGGTGGCATTTTGAAGCTGAGAGAAGTTAAGCAACTTGCCCGAGACCACTTTAATTAATAAGTACCTGACACATATAATATTTTACAATGTATAAAGCATTGTCATATCTCTTTTGTCATCTCTTTTAATCTTGCCAACTGTATTTTCATTTGCCAGATGAGGACACTGAGGCTCCAAGGTAGCTTGCTTAACTTACATAGCTAACCAACTGGGACGGAAAGCCAAGCGTTTGCACTTTTCCCCGGCACTCACTGCCTCCAGTGAAATGCATCCTGCCCTGCTGTTTTCTGGGTAAGCAAACAAGAGGCTGTGCTTGTATCTTGATAACCATGAGATGCCTCCCCTGTTTTTCACTTCTGCTGAGTTTCCAGGTGTCCTTGTTTTTGCACATAAGCCAGTCAAGAGGGCAATACCGACTTATATGAGTGCATGTGTGTTGATGTGCCTCGGGAAAAATACAGCACTTATACCAATAGATGAATGTCATTATGAAAGGACCAGTCACCTGCGTGAGCCTTCCTAGAGTCTTCCAAACCTCTGATGATACTTCAGGGAAGGGCAGGTCCTCTGTTCCTTCTTGGTGGCCTACCGTCATTGGATTTCTGACCCTTAGGGTTTGTGTCAAGGGGAGACTCACAGGAGGCCAGATTCTGAGCAGTCAAATCAGGTGGCACACAGGACGGGTACGTTTTGAGGGGTAGAGAGGAGGGCCTGATAAGGGCCAGAGGGACATCTGTGGAACCCCAGGAGTCTGCAGTCACGGAGTGAATGCTGCTCTGGACTCTGGCCTTGGGCCATACAGAGGAACTTCTGTCATAGTGACAGTGACAACCACCACACAGCACCTACTATGTGCCAGGCGCTGGTCAAAGTGCTTCCTGTGGATTACCTCCTTCAATCCACTTCACAAGTCCCTGTGATGCAGGTGTTATTATTATTCCCATTTTATAGATGAGGAAACTGTGGCATTGAGAGGCTAAGTAATATATCCAAGGTCACAGCCAGTATGTGGAGGAGCTGGGATTCGAACCCAGGCAGTTTACCTATTATCAGTCTATGCTATCCTGTCTCTCCAAGGCAACCACCATTTCTTCCAGACACCCTGGGGTGATGAGTGGTGGGAGAGCCCCGGCTGGACAAGGGTGCCATTGCCTCCCTCCCGCCCTCCCCAGCCTTGGGGCTCCTGGCACCCACTTACTCTGCAGCCTTCCCCAGCCTGTGACATAGCAGGAGAAGTTGTTGGGTAGGATGCTGCCAGTGGGAGGGAGGCAGCCCAGCTGGATCTTGTCAGTCAGGGAGACGGGGCTGGCCAGTTTGAGCAGGGCAATGTCGTTCCTGGGTCGGTAAAGAGGCAGAGCGTAAAGAGAGGGTCCACTGTTCCCGTCCTGATTTCATTTCTGATCTAGCCCCCGTGGGAACCATTGAACCCTCTCCTTGGCCAGGCTGATTGTAAACCCTCCCTTTTGCCAGGGCTACGAGGGATTGGGGAGCAGCTGTGGTCAAACCCCAGGGCTGCGTTTTGTCCCTGGTGAAGCTTGCGGGCCTTCTGGAAGGTTTGGCAGAGCAAGCTCTCCGGGCAGCGATTCAGGAACGACACCTCAGGCTGCAGGAGGGCCGCGCATGTGCACACATTATGCAAATTTGAAGCCATGGCTGGGGTGCTTCTTTCTAGAGGCCCTTCTAGAAGAGCAGGCCTGCTCTTTTGGATTGGGAGAGGAGGGTGACAGCTGCCTCTGAGCTCTGGGGAGGGCGCGGAAGCGGGGAGGAGGGAAGTTAACTTCTGATCTCTAGTGGGCAGATGACGGCAAGATGGTAAGAGTGCACTGAGGGACTGCTAGGATCGGGCTCTCCGCCAAGTGCCTTGCGCCTCATTAAGTTCCTGCCCAGATCTGTTAACTTCAGGCAAATTCCTTCACTTCTCTAGGTCATAGTTCCCTTTTCTGTGAAATGGGAATAATAACAGGACCTCCCTGCTAGGGGGTTGTGGGGAATAAATAAGATAATACATGGGAAACCTTTGGTCCAAGGGAAGCACCACGTGCTAGTTGGTCTGATGGTGAGAACTAATGCCCGGGCTTGGCAGAGCTTATTGCGGAGGCATCCTGGACTGCAGGTTCCGGAGGGCAGGAGGCCCTGACTGTCCCCATGGAAGACCGCACTGGCTGGGCCCGGATGCCATTGGTCACAGGACTACCTACACTTTTGGGATTAGAAAGGGCAGCTCCCCCAGCTGCAATGAGCTGCTCAGGTTTAGGGGTTACCCTAAACTTCACAGGGCTGGGGACACAGTGTCTCACTCACTGCTGTTTCCCAGGTGCCTAGAACAGAGCCTGGCACATAGTAGGTGCTCAATAAATATTGATGGAATGAGGGTGCGAGGGAACCTACGGCTCTGAATTTTGTTTAGCACCACCTGGATCTCAGGACTAGTGATCACAGAAGAAGCCCGGTGGTCCAGCACATATTCTCTGGCCCTACTATGCGCCCTTGCCCACATTAGGGGCTGGAGATTCAGGGATGAATCAGGCACAGCCCAGACCTTGCAAAACTGTCTGGAAAGGGACTCATACATGAGCTAATCAGTGATGCGGCAAACTGTGTGTCCACTGGGCTGCTCCATGAGGGCAGGAGTGGGTGGGTGATTCTGTAGGGGACCTTTTCTCTCATCACTTCCTCCTCATCACCTTCTCCATGGAGCCTGAATCAGCCCCTCCCAGGCCCTTTCCTAAATGCTTTACATACCTAACCTCATTTAATCTTCACAGCAAGCCTGGAGGTAGGCACTGTTATTATCCTTATTTTACCAAAGAGAAAGCTGAGGAACTCAAGCAGCCATTATTCATATCTAAGCCATCAGCCTCCAGAAGTTCAGTTCCCAGCCACTACCCTTCTCTGCCTCACTTGTGTCCATGGGCTCCCTGGGAGCTGGTACGGCGACCTGTGCGTTTCCGTGTGCCCAGCACCCGGAGTCCAGTGCCCAGCCTGATATAGGGTACTGGTTGGGGGGCGGTGTCAGTCACGGCGTGGGGGGGGGGCATGGGATGGGATCTGAGCATCTGAGGGAGAGGTGGCATGGGGCTGCTGTCATTTTCCCGGAAGGGGGGGATAATCACCGGTGGGTTTGGAGAGCTCTGAGACCTTTGTCATCTTCCCATGTACCTTACCCCCAGGCTGTCCCTGCAGGATATCTGGGTATCTTTGAAAATGTAAAAGGCCTTGTTGGGAGGGGGAGGACAGCAGGAGGCACTGTGCCCTGCGCCACCAACAGCCAACAGTCGTGGGCCTGCGGACTCATGCTGCGTCCCCAGGGCCTGGCACGCAGTAGGCACATTGTCAGCGAGTGCCTGGGCTGGACAGGGGATCTGCGGGCCTAAATGGCAGGAGACCCGGGTGACCCTGACAGTCTTTGCCTGTCTCTTCCCCAGTTCGCACCCTCATCCCAGGCATCTTCAGGGCTGGCTCTCCTTCTAAGGGTCAGAGCTCCTTTCCCCTCCCTACAAAAGGAGCAAAGGAGGGGTGCCTTCTGTGAGACACCCTCTGTCCGAGCCCCTGCCAACCCCACCCCCAGGTGCACCCGGACAGAAGGTACCCGTTGGAGATCTTGTTGGGGTTCCAGCCCTCGTGCACCACAAGCTTGGAGACCTTGACTGCCAGTGAGCCGCGCTCTTCCGTGGAGAGGCTGTGCCGGCCCAGCACCACGCGGTAGGTCCTGGAGGAGCTGGGACAAAGGGAGTGGAGCAGAGAAGGTCAGCTCCTGGCTGTCTCGTCCTTTCTCCATGTATGGCCTCCTGAGACCCGGGGTTGAATAATGCTGGGATGGGCCCGAATATACCTCTACCTGGCACTTGGAAAATTTCCTTCCCTGGAGCAATAGGTTAGCTATAACATAATATGATGACTATATACTATACTAATGATAAACTATAAATACAAGTTATAAAAATGTCACCTCTATATTATTACGGGGGAAATGAGATAGGCACAGAGAACCCAGCAGTCATTTGCCCTCAAGGGCGTTTTTTAGATGAATCTCCCCACCTCTTCTTTTTTAGGTGGGGAAACTGAGGCTCCGAGAGGAGTAAATGGCCCAGAGTTTCACAGGGAGCTAGTGAGAATCCGGAACTAGAAGTCAGGATTCCTGACTCTCAGGCCTCTGTCATTCTACCACCTTAGGAAGTTAATAAATTAGGTGGGGAGAAGGGGCGCCTCCTGGTGACGAGAGGGGCACACTGACCAAGGGGAACTTCCCCCGAGCACCGACTGGGGCGAGAGAAGCAGAGGTCTCACGCAGGGAGAGGAAAAAGACAGGCAACAACGAAGGCCACAGCACATTTTCTTCCCCTGTGGGCCTTTACAGTGGTACAAACTCACTTTTTTTGAGCATTTGCTAAGCGCCAGGCCCTTTAAGACATCATTTCATTTAATCCACATTAAATTCTGTTATCTGCTTTTTTTGCAGGTGATGGTTTTGAGGCTTGGAGAAGTCATTCAAGCTGCTTCAGGGAACCCAGTTCCAGGCCTGGAGGCCACATCTAGTGTCCCAAGTGGGCAGGAAATGGGCCTCCCCCCGCCCCTCATTCCCGCTCGGTGCTTTGCACAAGGCACTCAGTCGTGTTGTCTATTGACCCATCAGTCACCCTGCAGACTGAATTCAAGGTCGAGGAAGGCTTGTTCTCTGGCCAGGCAAGTAGTTATTTGCAAGACTCCTTTACATGGGATGGTTCTGGACATTGGGCTCCCGCTCCCAGAGACGAATGCTGGCCGGTGGGCTGAGCGGGCTGGGTGCCTGGGGAACAGCACTTACCTGATGCAGTGGGCAGCTGTCAGGACCCAGTTTGTGGCCACCAGGGACCCTCCACAGGTGTGGCGCCACTGGCCATTGGAGTTGAACTGCAGGGAGACCTGGGAAGAAGCGCCGGCGCTCAGCGGCCCATCCCTGAGAGCAGGGCTGGGTGGGGTGATTACGGAGGCACTTGTCTCAGGTGCAAAACGGAGGGGGCACCATGGAACTCAGCCATCAGGATAAATAACATTTTAATGCAACATTAAAAAAATTAGCCCTGGCTAGTGTGGCTTGGTGGACTGAGTGCCGGCCTGCAAGCCAAAGGGTCACTGGTTCGATTCCCAATCAGGGCACATGCCTGGGTTGCAGGCCAAGTCCGCAGTAGGGGGCACAAGAGGCAATCACACATTGATGTTTCTCTCCCTCTCTTTCTTCTTCCCTTCCCCTCTCTCTAGGAATAAAATCTTTTAAAAAAATTAATACAAAAAATCCATGATGAACAAAATATCAAAAATTTAACTAAAGACACTTAAAAAAAAATAACTGCTGTGAACATCTTTCTGCAGTGTGATTTGTTGGGATTTTCCCTTTTATGGAAGCTATTTCCTTAAGGCATAGCCCTTAAGGCAATCTAATATGTCTAAAACCAAAATCTTGATTTCCCCCCTACACATGCTCTTTTCTCAGGCTTCTTCCTCTCACTAAATGGCAACCCCACTTTACCAGCTGCTCAGCCCGGACCCCTTGGTGCTATCCTTGGCGCCGTTCCTCCTCTCAGATCCCTCGCTCAACTCCACCAGCAACTCCGCCAGCTGCTTCCAGCGTCCGAGAGAGGAGGCTACCCCTCGGCCTGCCTCCACGGTCCCATTTGCTCTCCCTGCTCTCCCCCGGGCTCGTCCCTCACCCCAGGTTTTCTCCACACGGCGGCCAGAACGATCCTTTCTAAAGGGGAGTCTGATTACATTTGTCCTGTGTGCAGACCCTCCAGGGGCCCCCCGTTCTACACAGTGCAGAGCCCCAAACTGTACGATGGCCCACGAGGCTCTGCCTGAGCACCTGGCCGCGTCAGCTGCCGCTCCCCTCTGCCCCTGCCACTCCAACCCCCCCGGGAGGTGCTGCAAACTCTCCAAGCTCACTTCCTCCTCAGGGCCTTTGCACTGGCTCTTCCTCCTGCCTGGAATATCCTTCTTCCAGCCATTAACATAGTTCCCTCCTTCACTTCCTGCAGGGGCGTGGTCAAGGTTACCTTCTCCGAGAGGCCTTCTATGACCACCACGCATGTCCACACACACACACATACACAAACACATGTGTATGGGTAGTACGGCGGGATGGCTCCTTATTGCAGCAGGAGAAGCACCTCTTTCTCTACCTTCCAAGGCTGACCAAGGCCACAGAAATGTATTTTATTGGTGAATTTTCCCACTGTGCCCGTGCAATAGCCCTCATGGCAGAGGGCAAAGGAGGGTGACGTGGGGTGGTGGGGGCAGGGAGGGAAGGAGTGAGTGCGGGCGACTCACCTGCCAGGGCCAGCTGTTGGGCCTCACATCTTCACCTCCAACAACCCTGGACAGGTTGGGCAGGTAAGTGGGGAGCCCGCAGCTGAGAGCTGCGAAGAGAGAACGGGATGTGAGTCCACGTGACCGTGACCCAAACAGTGTACCGCACTTCCTGCGTTCCTGCTGGGGGGCTCAAATGTTGGAAGGATTTTAGTTTCGGGTAATAGCTGATAAGCTTGGTAATCGATGTCTGCCAAAAGCTATTGTTTCAGGAATGGAAGGCAGGACCCTCCTTGGCTCCAGGAGACCACAAACAGTTCCACCTTTGTGCCTCTGGAGGTCTCAAGCAATTAAGATGGCATCTGAGCCATTGTAATCCGGGGTGAGATGCCCACCGCTCAGGGCGAGAATGCCGCAGTTTTTTTTTAAATCCAACTAACTTTTCCCTGAATTCCAAACCCTTTACCTGTACTTTGTTCTTCTTATAAAAAGGGCCATCTTAAAATGGAATTTAAGATGGTCTGTTAGGGCACAAACCCACTGTCTTCTCACCTTGCTGGCCGTCCGAATAAAACGCCCGTAAAGATTCAACCCCTGTCTCTGCTCATTAGTTCTGGTAGGTGACAGGCAGCCTGAATGCCGGCTTTTCCGGTTTCATTCCCAAATTCCAACGAGAAAATCCTTGTTCTAGCAGGATCCCAAGAGGTCATAGAGTCCTGCCCTTTGCTCCACTCCTTTGGAGTGTCACTCTAGCTTTCTGATGACCAGAGCACTGAGTTCAACAAGGGCAGGGACGTCCCATCCCTAGTCCCACCAGGGAACTGGAAAGTGCCTCTGGGTGACAGGGCTTACCTCCAGCCACCAATGCAGACAGGAGTAGGACCCTGATCATGGTGTGTCTGTGGCAGTCTTGGAATTGTGGACTTGGCTGAGGCCCTGGTTTTATGAGTAGGCTTATCGGCCAGAGATATACTGAGTGCACAAGGTGGGGATTTTCTCAAAGCCCATTGGAAAATAGGGTCTGTGTTCAAATATTTTTTTTTCCATTTTCTCCCACCTGTCACACTGGAAGGACATGGAAAAAGACGCCAAAGGTGGATATTCAACAAGGGCCTCTTTTAAGAGATTATTATGTTATGTGCTGAGGAGGAAGAAAAATATAGGTTGTTGGTCCCTGGAGTTGTGTTTTCACAGAGAACAGCTGGCATGCTGAACAAAGAGCGTTCTAGCCGGTGGTTCTCATTGGGGCTGGCATTGCCCTCCCCCAGGGGACATTTGCCAACGTCTAGAGACCTTTTTGGTGTCATGGCTGGGGGTGGGGCACTATTGGCATCCGACGGGTGGAGGCTGGATGAGCTGCTAAACATCCAACCGTGCACGGGACGGCCCATCACAGGACTGGTCTCCTGGCCAACGTCAAGGGCGCCGAGGCTGATGAGTCCTGTCCCAGGCCACAGCTTGCTGTGTGTGACCTTGGATGAATCGTGTAAACTTCTTGGCCCAGGGCCTGCCCATCTGTGAAACAAGGAGAGAAAAGTGGGCCCAGCCTGTTATGCAACCTCGTGGAGAGAATTTGGAAAACGCAGGGGTCACACGTACAGAGGAGAAGCACCAGACTGAGCCACACCAAAGGGGTCTGGCTGCCCCAGAAGTGGGGTGACTGAGAAAGTGCTGGCAGAGGAGGGCTTTGTTGGCATGGATCAAGGTGTGTTTTATTGCATATCCCAAGCCAACCGCAGCTTGCTCTCCTCCAATAATGTCATCTTCCAAATGGGGTTCAAAGCAGGAGCCTCCAAGAGATGGGGGCTGGTCCCGAACATCACATGTATGTCAGGAGCATTCCCACATTTTATCTAATCTGAGTTGCACAAAATCTCACAAGAGGATCCCTTCTTTCAGGCGAGGAAACGGAGGGTCAGAGGTAAAGTGACTTGGCCAAGATCACAGAGCTTCTAAGACAGAATGGGAATTCCAGCTTAAGTTGTTCTGATTTCAAAGCCCCTTTGTTTAACGGCGTTACGAATCTCCTAGCACTGCAATAAGCCCCTCATTTTGGGTGGGGGAAGGGCGGACAAAGTGAGCAGGCTTTCCTCACTCTGCCTTACCTTCCCTCTCCTTGCTTGCGGCCAGGGGACCGTGCCAAGCAGGCCAGGCTCCGGTGAGACAGCCCAGCTCAGCGACCACAGGCAGTGCCCCTGGCCCCAGCCAGAAAGGCAGAGGAGAAAGGGACTTCAACTCTTACGACCTGGGTTCAAGTCCTCACTCAGTCAGATTTGAACAGTGTGTGTTCGACAAGTTACTTAGCTTCTGGACCTGCGTTCCTTAGGTAACGACCCAGGCCTGGACTGCAGGATTGTCGTAAGGGCGGGTATGGGCGGGCATGGGCGCGAAAGCACTGTGCGCTCGCCCAGGGAGCCTGTGAAGGTGAGCGAGGCCGGGGTGCAGGGCCCACGGGGCTGGCCGTCCGAACACCTGGGATCCAGTCCCTGCTCTGCCCCGAGTTCCCCACGAGTGTTTGGACTAGTGTTTATCATCTGTAGCAGCCACTACAACAACAAATATTTCTGAAGTTTCCTATTTTATCTTGAAAGTTAATGTGAATTTGGCATTCTGCTTCGTGTAGCGGTGTTTGTTTTAATATAAAAATACGGTTTGTCCTGTGTGAGGTTGCTGAACAAACACCGGTTGGCACGTGCCGTGGGCTTGCTGTGTGACCTTGGGCGAGTCACACAGGCTCTCTGGCCTGGGGTCGCCCATCTAGAAAACAGAGAGAAGGACATATGCCCAGTTTGCTTCACCATATTGCTTTGAGAAGTTGAAAGTGACAGAAAACTTCGTCAAACAGGCTTAAGCCATAGAGCCATTGATTGGCTCTATGCAGGGCTAGCTTGAGGCACGGCTGGGTCCAGGGCTCTGGTGATGCCCCCAGGACTCAGCTTCCCTCTATTTTGGGTTCTCCCTTCTGCTGCGAAGGTCTATTCTCGGCTCCATTGAGTGGCCTGAAGCAGCAGGTTGTCCCTTCCATGGGAACAAGATGGCTATAGGGTCTCTGACCCAGGGCTTTTCAACTGCAGCGCTATCGACATTTTGATGATAATTCTTTACAATGAGGCCTGTCCTCCATGTTGCAGGAGGTTTGGCAGCACCCCTGGCTCCCCACCCATTACATGCCAGTAGCCCCTTTTCTCTGCCCCCAACTCATGACAACCAGAAATTTCTCTATACATTGCCAGCTATGCCCTGGGCAGCAAAATCACCCCTTCTACCCTCCCTCCCCCTCTTGCTGTTGTAGCCTTATACCCTGTTTCCCTCAAACCCAGCAGGGAGAGAGAGCCTTTTAGGGTTCAGAAGCCCCTCAGCTCTGATTGGACCCACCTTAGGTCACATGCCCATCCTTGAGCCTATTGTTGCGGTGGGGCAGGGGATGCCATGTTAGTTGGCCAGGCCTGGAGCACAACTTCCGCTCCTCTATCGAGAACCTGAGGCTCCCATCCAGACCACGGGGTAGCAGAAGTGGGGGAGGGGAGGTACAGAAAGAAAAACCCCGGGTTCTAGAGAGGGAATGGAGACCAGGGAGAAAGAGTGCAAATAGCCACTCCAGCTCACTTCCCCCTCCGGTGCTCGGTTCCCCATTTGTATGTTGTTGGACACGGCAGTCGAGTTCTAAACCGGGCTGGGTCCGTGAGACCGCAGTGGGGACTGAGGGAGGTGTAGCTGTGAACTCAGGCGGGTTTGACTCATTTAGAAAGGTTCCTCTGAGAAGCCATATATGGCTCAGTGGCTGGAGCTTGGGTTTCTACCCTGTGCTTCTGTACTGACCCTGTGGTTTGGGTCCTTGCTACTCAGGCCAGTCTGGACCCGCAGCCGCAGCCGCACAACGTAGGAGGCGGTGAGAAATGCAGACTCTCTCACCCAGATGGGCTGAGTCAGCCTCTGCAGGTTAAGGAGATGCACAGGTCGTTCTTCTGTACATGGGAATTTGGGGAGAACAGGGCTAGGGCATGGTTCCTCTCCCTCCTCAGTTTCTTCATCTAGGCGATAGAAACAGGAAGCTTTCCACCTCTCTCTCAGCTTTGTGGGTAAAATTAAGCAGTGTATTCACTTCAAACACTGAGGTTAGCAACACAGTGTTCACTCTTAAATCCTTAGAAGGCAGGCCTCAGATTATCAGAATAGCACAGAACTCTTCATATGTTTCCATCAAATAATCCTAGCAAACTTTTCCTGTGAAGGACCAGATAGTAAATATTTTAGCTTGCAGGCCATATGGTCTCGGTTGCAACTAGTCAGCTCTGCAAAAGCGGCCATCTGGGCATAGCTGGTTTCCAATAAAACTTTATTTACAAAACAGACTTGGTTTGCAGGCTTCAGTTTGCAGTAGAGCAACGAGCTGAGGTCTAGCATGAAGCAGTCACCACAACAGCAAATGTCTCTGAAGTCTCATTCTTAAAACTTGATCTGAAATTTGCAGCTCACTTCATAGCGTGGCTGGGTTTATTTTAATGTAAACTGTTTTTCTTCCAATGTGACCTTCATGGAGAATTGATGCTTTGGAAGATGCTCCTTCTTTATTCCCTGTCTTTACTGCCCCCTACCCCCGTCCCACGGCCAGGAGGACCTTTGCAGACACCTGCCCCAGACTTGCAAGAGGGAGCGTCAGGGAACTGGCCCTCAAGGCCTGCTGGGAACGAGGCTCTCTCTCCTAAGGAACAAAGGGAGGGAAGGATTGGCTAATAGGAGTCCAGGTGTGAGATCAGTAGCAGTAATGACTCCTATCATGAGCCCCCATGATTTCATTGGCTCCCAATGGGAAGGGAGGGCAGGTGCCCGTTTTACAGATGAGGAAACCGAGGTTCTGAGAAGTGCTGTGACTCAGGCACTGTCGCTGCCTGTTGGTGGCGGAGTTCCATGCGCCCCTCCTGTTGTTTAGGATACTGATTTGCGCCTGAGATAATGCAGGTCTCCAGCACGGGGCCGGATTCTTTACCCCTCCCTCTATCCACGCCCTTTGCCATTAACTTGCGCAGTGTCTTCCCGGGAGGCAGACAAGAGGCAGGTGGAGCTGAGACCCAGACTTGATCAGCCAACCCCCAAGCCCTGAGACATATGAGGGATGCCAGAGAAAATGAGCAGGGCCACCCAGCTGACCCCGGATGTGTGCGTAATAGAGCCTGTCATTGGATGCCACCGAGGGTTTGCGGTTGGCTGTTACGCAGCATTATTAATTACGCCAGCAGTGGCTGGTACAGTGTGTGCAAGCCCTCTGTGAACATCTGTGAGCAATAAGTCTCCTCCCGGGTTCTGTCTGTCTGAGCTCATTGCCAGCTTTGCTCAGGCTTGTCGGCACACCCACAGCCTGCATTCGCCACCCCCCATCCCACCCTCTGGCAGGGCCACGAGAGGACTTCAGTGTAGGGGCGGGGGTCCTTAAGATTTGGGGGCTAATGGCAGAATGACATGGTGGTAGCCACACAGGCTCTGGAGTCAGACTGCCTGGGTTTAAGGCCTGGTGCCCCCTTCCTGGCTGTGTGATCTTGGGCAAGTTTTTAGCCCTCTCGGAGCCTCAGTTTCCTTGTCTGTAAAGGGGGATAATAATCAGGGCTGCCATGATTATCTGACGAAACAGTGCATGTGAAGTCCTTGGATGGTGCCTGGCACGTAGTCACCTAGTGCTCAATACGTGCTAGCCACGCGTCAGGCACACGATGGCGTTCTAGCGGGCCACTGGCACGGGGCGCTCCGAAGGTGGAGGTGGGAGGGTCAGTGCCCACGTGCCCGCTTTCCCTCGCTTCCAACCGCTGCTCTGTGACCTCCTGGGCAAAGTGCACAAATCCTTGCTGTCACCCCAGCCAGATCCCGGGAAGTCCTCCCTGACCCCGCCCTTCCTTCTCTCCTCCGGCCCCACAGTGTCCTCTAGATTTTGCCAGAAGAAAGGACTAATGATGTTTTTATTTCCTTTTGCTGCTTTAATAACTTACCATGAATGCGGTGGCTTGGAACACAGAAATTTGTCCTCTTATGGCTCTGGAGGTCAGAAGGCCACAGCTCATCTCACTGGACTAAACCAGGGCTGGAACTTGCTGGAGGCTCTAGAGGCTCCTTCCCTTGCCTTTCCCCACTTTGAGACGCCAGCTGCCTTACTTGGCTTGTGACCCCTTCCTCCCTCTACAAAGCCGGCAGGGTAACATCTTCAAACCCCCTCTGACCCCAACCCCCTGCCTCCGCCCTCACTTCTCCCTCCGATTCTGCGCCTCCCGCCTCCTTCTTATAAGGACGCTTGTGATTTCATTGGGCCCACCTGATAATTCAGGCTCATCTCCCCATCCCACGATCCTTAAATTGATTGCATCTGCAAAACCCTTTTTGTGACATAAGGTAGGTAATGGATGGACAGGTTCTGGGGACTAGGGCGTGGACCCCTTTGGAGGGCTGTTAGCCTGTCTGCCTCAGCGAGACATTGACGCTTGGACACAGCCGTGGATCTTGCCCCTGAATCTGAGGATTTTATGTTCTTGTCAAACAAACAGCATCATGACTCGCGCTTCAATCTTTATTAGGTGATCGATGTAGTTTGCTCATTCAATCGCATTCCCAAAAGTTTATGTAGATTTGGGACCAAGCGGCTCTTGTTTAACACCACACATATGCCTCTTAAATAAGTACTGAACTAGTCCCCAACTCCTGAGTCCCCTCTCTCCTTCCGGTGACTGCCTTGGTCAGGGCTGCATACATTTTGGCCTAGAGCCAGGGGTGTCCAACCCACGGCCCACGGGCCGCACGTGGCCCAGGATGGCTATAAATGTGGCCCGACACAGAATTGTAAATGTACTTAAAACCTTATATTTTGCACATCAGTTTTCGTTAGTGTTTGTATATTTAATGTGTGGCTCAAGACAACTCTTCTTCCAGTGTGACCAGAGGCGCCAAAAAGGTTGGACACCCCCTGCTAGGCCGTTGCGGCTGGGCTTCCTGCCTCCCCCTGCTCGCCCGCTCCAAGTCACTCCCCATACAGCTGTCAGATAAATATTTCAATGCGTACATGTGACCACAGTGGTCACCTCTCTGCCTAAAACCCTCTATGGCTCCCTATGGCCCTCCAAATAAAGTCCCGACACCCCGTAACATGGCTGAAAGCCCTTTGCTAACGCTCGAGCCACACCTCTTGCCCCTCCCTCCTAGGGTGACCAACCGTCCCAATGTGCCAGTCCTGGTTTTAGCTCTTGAAAGCCTCATGTCCCAGAGAAGTCTCAGGACCAGGACAATCGGTCATGCCCTCCCTGCCCCGTGCCTTCTGCCCCAGCAACGGCAGCTGCTTGGAATTGTCGTTCTTGTTGAATGAGGAAAGCCTTCCCTGGGAAGGAAGTGCCCTGGCATAGTAAGGTATGAGAGGTATGTCCTGGTCCCCACCTCCAGGAGCCAAAGTCTGGTGGGGAAAAAGGACAACTCAGGCACCAAGCGGAGGGCAGCGGTAGCCTCTCCAAGGAGTTGAGAGGCTGGAGTTCGGCTGCTGGGGCAGGGGGTGGGCACATTCTCAGGGGCGTGCGGTCAGGAGCCGGGGCCCCGCATAGACTGCCCCCCACCGGACACTGGATCGTTCCCTCTTTTGGCTCCAGCCGCCCTCCAGGGGACCTCAGGAGGGTTCCCATCCCTGAGTCTGCATGGCTCTGCTCCTGTGACCTGGCCCAGCTCCTTCTTCCCTCTGGGCTTCCATTTCCCGGCCTGTCCAATACAGCGAAAGCTTTCCCAGCTCTGCCCCGCTGTGACCATGTGTGGAAACTGTTGTTTTTCTCAAACCTGCTCCCCCTGAGGGCTGGGCTGCGGTCTCGTCTTCCTCCTGTGCCCTCACTGTGCCCAGCACGGGGCTGGCGTGAGGCCAGGGCTCACGAACTACTTCCCCGCCATAGCGAACCCAGGCTGCCAGCAGCCATGGGGTCTGCTCTGGGGTGGGGGTCTGTTAGGGAGCATCCTCCTCAGGGAGCTGGTAGTTGTCCCTGAGCAGCGGTATCCTTCCTTCTGTGGCCCAAGGACCCACCTGACCCCTCTGTGGAGGCAGGACCAAGAAGAGGATGACATGATCAGGGCCACAACATTTCGTAGCTGTGAGGTATTGGGGACAAGTGTCTGGTGTGTCCTTAGCTCCTATCCCCCCAGGCACAAGGGGGCTTCCTGGGGTCCCCCTGTACTAGTGCCCCCAGGAACAGACTCGTGGGGGTGGGGGTAAAGGTGTGGAGGTGGGGGTGCAGGCGTGTCTCTCTTTGCCATCCTGATATGGAAAGGGGCCGCCCCTAGAGAGCCCGGGCAGTGTGGGGGAGGCGCAAATCAAGAATGCAGGCGGCTTAAGGGGGAACGAGGTTTATTGTGGATGCAGAGGTTTGCTGCCGTGGCTCCCACAGATGAATCACAGCTGCATTTTCTGCAAGAGCAAAGAACAGGGTGAGTGCGTGTGCGCGCCCACATGCCTGGGTGCCCTTCGGGGGCTCTGCGGGGAGAGTAGGGAGACAGGGGCGCCGTGGGCAGCCCTGGGACTTCCTGGGCCAGCCTCGCCTCCGCCTAAGGGCTCTGTGGCCGCTCGGCACTTCAGACTCCTGCGCAAAAGGGCTCAGGACACATCCGCCCCCGGTGTGAAAGCCCCCAGGCTGAGTGACCCTCTGCCCCCGCTACCTTCAAGCTATATATGCATGGCCAGCCGCACCGCCCCTGCCCCTGCGCTGAGCCCTGCTCTCCCGGGCTGCGTTTCCCTTTTGTGGGGACTGGTGGGGTGCCTGGGGTCGGGACAGAAGTTATTTGCTGAACCCAATGGACAAACGGGTGGAGAAGGTAACGACTGTGTTCTTCCCTGTCTGTACCTGCCTCAAGGCTGCATCCAGCAAGCACTTGATACTTCTTGATTGAGTGAGCAAGTGAATGGATGGATATGTGAACAAGGACACGAATGAACGCATGACGGAACCAGTGAATGAATGAGTGAATGAATGAATGAGTGAGTGAGGAATGGGCGAGTGAGGGTGAGGGGTGGCAGGTGCAGGGAGGAGGGCTGGGAGGCAGGCACCCACCTCGTTGATCCAGTCGATGTAGGCGGACACGCGGGTGTAGACAGCGGGCTTCTTGCGCATGTTGCAGCTCAGCCCGGAGCCAAAGCTCACGATGCCGCGGACCTCCCAGGAGCCGTTCTCAGCCTGGCAGTTCAGTGGGCCGCCGGAGTCCCCCTGCACCAGACCAGTGGGGTCAGTCCCCAGGCCTCCCACAGAGGCAGGCTTGGGGAGCAAGGGCGGGCCAGGGTGGGGGCTGTGGGCTCCTCTCAGCTTTGGTACCCCCTGTTTTAGCCTCAGCCTGTCCATGGTGTGGGAGGCAGGGAAGAGGTGGTTTGGGGCTGCCTTGGCCTCATTCTGGGAGGTCCTGGGTGTCAAACTAGCTCTCGATGTGCTGTGTGACCTTGGATGATGGCAACCCTCGCTGTGCCTGTTTCCTCAGCTGTTCAGGTTGGGGGGGAGGTAGGAAGGAAGGCGGAGGGGGAGACATGTTTCCTCTAAGCCTCCTGTGCCCACTCAGAGCTCAGTCTCTTCCTAGGGAAAGGGTTTGCTCACGTGGCCTCCCTACACCACACCCTCCTTTGCCCTCCCCACTGCCCCCTTCCCCTTGGCCGCCTGGAGAGGGAGGGGCGCAGGGCCTGGACACTCACGTTGCAGGCTGAGGTGACGCCGTCGCCCCCAGCGCACACCATGGTGTCCCTCACCATGTTGCCCCACCAGTCTTTCTGGGTGCAGGTGGCATGGTCCACCACGGGCTGCAGGCCCTGTTGCAGCTCCTCAGCTATGGGGCCGTTGGCTGGGGAGAGAGCGGGCAGGTGAGTGGGGAGGCAGCCTGGGACGCCAGGGCCCTCGGGGGCAGAGGGGTGAGGGCGGCTGGGACGGGACCCCAGCACGTTTGGGTGGACTTCATGGGAACCACACATATGCCCTTAATGGAGGGGCCCTGAGCCAGTGGTCCCAGATGGTCTGGGTCTGAGACCCCTCCGGGTGGGGAAGGGAGAGCAGGCTGGAGGCAGAACGAACCATAGAAACCCCTGTGAGGTGATTTCTCTTTAATTGGAATTCTGAGGTTTCAATTGTCCTTCGTTTCCTTGTAGGGCTTGGACTTGAGTGTTGTACAGTAAAAGGCCTTTCTCACTCCAAGACTTTCCAAGTATTAATCTGCATTTTCCTCTAAGTCTTCCATAGGTTTGTTTTTTTGCATGTAACCTTTTAATTTGGCTGGAATTTATCGGGTGTATGGTATACCATAACATCTAATCCCCCGCCCCCAAACGGTTTAATAGGCACTTATCTGACACTTACATGTGCCAAGCCTTGTTTTAAGCATGTGACAAATCCTAATCCTTTTAATCCTTATAGCATCCCTTCTTCTGCACTTGTTAGAGTGTCTCTTACATGGTATGTGCTTAATAAAAATTAGCTGTTTTTATTACAAAGTTAAGAAAATCTGAAGCTGTTGAGGTAAAGAGGAAAAGCGATGGGCAAATGTGGGTGGTGTGCTTGTTGTGGGAGCCACTTCCTCCAGGAAGGCTCCTGGGACTTGCCAGGGGCAGTACTCACTCCGGAGGCGGCCCCAGCCGGTGACGTAGCAGGGGTAGTCCTGAGGCATCACGGAGCCCGCCTCCGGCAGGCAGGCCAGCTGGATGGTGTCACTCAGCTCCACGGATTCCGCCAGCTTGATGAGGGCAATGTCATTGCTGGAATTCAAGGGAAAGGTCTGAATGAGCAGGACGCCTTGCCCCCCAGCCAAGGCTAAGGGGCCCAGGCTGTGACCAGGGGTCCTCCCTAAACATCTGACTGCCAGCTCCTCACTGGCTGACAGAGACGTCGGAGGACAGGCGGCCCACCTTCTAACACCATCACCCGCCCCTGTAGATACAGCTTCTCCCAACTTTCATGAAGTCTTCACATCATGAAAGCTTAACGGAGGGGAGACGGGAGCGGAAGCAGTTCAGACCACCGCAGGTAAGGTACCAACCACAAATTAAGCAAAGATAGGTTGGAAATTACAATGATAAAAGGGAGACACTGGTGGGTGCAGTATTTTGATGCCTTCATGCTACCAGGATGAAAGCTGGCAACAGTAGCAGACCTGGCTTGATTCCTAGTTCTGACACATGTGACCTGGGACAGAGTCCTTAACCTCTCTGAGTCTCAGTCCCTTGTCTGGGGCTGTTGTGAGCATGAAATAAGAGATGGCATATAGCGTGCATATCACAACGCGTAGGCCCTCCCTAAAGGGGCGTCCTGGCTCAGTTGCTGCCTGAGGGACTCCAGGCAAGACGCTGCGGGGACCGCGGGGCTTTTATTCCCTGTGCGCCTTCTGAGGGCCCCTGGCTGATGAGGGAGATGGGAGGGCTGTCTGTCTCCACTCAGCGTTTTGCCACTTTGCATGAAGGGGTCATCGGCTGGCTGTGCAGGGTGAAGGACGGGGTCCTGGGACAGGGTGGGCGCAGGCGCTGCATCTCTGGCCCGAGGACCTCTCCTCCTTCTGCGCTGCCGCCAGCGGCCTGAGACAGTCATCCGGGCACTCACCGCACCAGGAAGGAGTTCCACTTTTCATGGACAAAGATGGTGTCCACGTCCACGTAGTGGGAGCCTTCCTCGTCGTCCACCGCCAGGTTGTACTTCCCCAGGGCCACACGGTAGGTCCGGGCGTTGCTGAACAGAGGAAGGGGACTGGGTCAGGGGGGCGCCTGCTAGCAGCAGGTGGGGGGAGAGGACTCGGAGCCTCGGTGACTCAGCTCTGTGGCCCAGTGTCCATCCCCGCTGACGCTTCCCAGGGTTCAGGGTAAGGACTCTGGTCAAGCCCACTTCGACTCCTCGGTGGGCAGCCTCGGGCCTCAGTGTCCTCATCTGTAAGGTGGAGCCAGTATTGGAACTCCCCTTCCAGGACTGCTGTGAGCACGGATTGCTCCTCGCCTGCCTGGTCTCGCCTGCAGGCCGCTCTCACTCTCCTTCCTGCTCGCGCCTCACACACTCTGTTCCCTCCCGCGGCCCTTGCGCTGCCGTTCCGGCATCTGCAGTGCCCTCCCCCAGGACCGAGAGTTCTACCCTCACTTCCTTCGGGTCTTTGCTTCAAGTGTCTCCTTTGCAGAGAGATCTCTCCTGGCCGCCTCATTGAAAATAGAACCCCTCGTACTTTTTATTCTCTTCCAGCCTTTTTTCTTCACTGCCGTTTGATATGTTATATATTGTATTTGCTCGTTTAATGGTCTGTTGCTCTGTCTTTGGCTAGAATACAAGCTTGCTGAGAGCACAGACTCCGCCCTCACCCCGTGTTCCCTGGCACATAGCGGGTGCACAGTAAATACTGCTGAACGGAGGAATGAAAATGGAGTTACAGCTGTAAGTAGCTTATTTAGCCCAGGGTGCAGTAGGCGCTCAGTACAAGCAGCTCATCAGGCTCCCGATCTGGGCGTCATCCCTGTTCACCTGATGCAGTGGGCAGCCGTGAGGACGAAGTTGTTGGCGATCAGGGTGCCACCGCACGTATGCCTCCACGTGTCATCCTTGAGGTACTGGAGGGAGATCTGGAGGAGAGGCCGCGTGTCAGCCCACAGGGAGCCTCTCCCCAGCGCCCCGCCCCCCCGCCCCCACCTCGGCAGCAGCACTCACCTGCCAGGGCCAGCTGTGGGGACGGGCATCGTCTCCTCCCACCACCCGGGCCGCGAGGTTGGGCAGGAAGGTGGGGACCCCGCAGCTGGAGGCTGAGGGGGACAGGGGAGGAAGAGCACAGGTGAGGGGGCTGGCATCCCACTGGGGCAGGGGCAGGAGGAACTTTGGGGCAGGTATGGGTTCAGATTTTACTGCATGACTTTGGGGGAGCCACTTAGTTCTCCGGGCCTCAGCTTCCCTTTCTGTGAGATGGGAAGAATAATACAACCGGGTGTGCTTTTCCCCGAGAACGAAATCGGACAACGCCAACAGAGCTTTCAGTGACAGGCTGGGCACAGAGGGACTCTGCTTCGGACACGGAAGGAAGAAGAGGTGGCTGGCGCATGGGTGAGCGCCCAGAGGCACCCATGTCCTTCATCCTTACTTGCTGCCCCTTTTTAGGCCGCAGCATAATGGGGGTGTGCGAGCAAAGGGTTCGTGGAGTTCCAGACTGTGAGAGCTGGGAGCTGTGTGGAGCAGTCAAGGGCGTGCGCTCTATAGTGAGACAGCCCCAGACTCAAATTCTGGCTCCACCACTGGGATCTCTGGCAGGATGTGGAGCCTCATCAAGCCTCAGTGCCCTCATCTGTAGAGAGGCGGCAGTAGTCGACCCTGCCTCGCAAGGTAGTTGTGAGGGTCAAATGAGCTCCTGTGTGTACAGGGCTTAGCACAGTGCCTGGTGCATAGTAAACAGGCAATAAACAGGAGCTGCTATTATTATTATTACTGCAGTGGTTGTTGTTAGCTAGAAGGGCTCTTAATCAAGTGTTCTCCTCTGCCAAAACAGCCGGTGAGATTTAGAGAGCCGGAGACTTGTCCAGGTCCTGCGGAGAGTGAGTGACATTCAAGCCAGGTTTGTCGATTCCTAATCTGGGAGAAGGTCACCAGCACAGGGGAGCAAAGAATCCCCAAGGGAGAGGGGCCGATGCCGGGAAGGGCAAGCCCCAACTGTCCCTGGGAGGGGGCGTGGGCCTGGGCTCGCCACGCCTCATCCCTAATGCTCACCCTGGGAGGTCAGATCATCAGGTCTGTTTTGCAGATACGGAAGCAAGGGGCTCATCTCACACAGCTGGTTGGCAGTATCTGAACCCACGTGGGACCCCAAAGCTCCTTTCCTGGGAGGCCAGCCCAAGCCCACAGCCTGTGGGCTGCAGCTCCCCGACCCACAGCTTACCGCAGGCCAGGAGCGCGGCGAGGACAGTGATGGCCAACATGCTGTGCGTGTTCAGGACCAAGTGGCCGTCGAGGCCGGTGAGACACTCTTATAAACAGGAGTGGGGTGACCTCACCCCACCCCACCCCACCCGGTCAAGGCTGAGCCACCCCTTGGGAAGAAACCTGTTCTTACAAGGCCCTTTCCCTGACCTTGGGTGGTTACTGTTTAATTTGGGAGGGAGATAGGGCTGGCTCGAGACGTGGATTTCCCCAGATAACCCGAGGCCGAGCAGATTCTGAGGTGTACGGGTTTGGGGGCCCCCACCACTCTGCTTGCAATATATTCTTCACTTTCCCTAATTCATTCGTTTAGTTATTATTTACTGGGCACCAGTGATGTGCCAGGCATTGTGCTTCATGCTCCTTGCATGCACTTAATTCTCCCAACAACATGAAGTAGACGCTGCCATCCGTTTGTTAAAGCCGAGGCAGCTGAGGCTCTGTGGTCAGGGACCGTCCACAGTCACATGGCTGGGCAACAACAGCACCAGGATTGGAAGTCAGTGCATCTAACACCAGCCTGGGGCTTCAAACTGCTGCAATACCCCGGTTCCTTCTGTCTTTATAGCTTCATCTCTTTTTATTTCTCCTCTCTTCATTGTTTTCTCTCTTTTTCCTTCCCCGTCATTCAACTAGTACTGTCTGGGCGTGGGGCATGTCTGTCTCCAGCACCTGCTTCCCAGGCTGTGGATAGAGGCTGAGGCGTGGGCGCCCCTCCAAGGTGTCTGGTTGGCCAGATTTCAGCTTGGTCTTCTCCCTGCACGGCCCCTCAGGCTCCCCATCTCTAAACTGGGCAAATCGGACCAGACACACTCTTAGGCTCCTTTCGGTCCTAAGGTTCCATGACTTGAACACCAAGGTTGAATGGCGCATCTGGGTTTATGGTACTTGATGTGGGTCCTAGCACTGTGTGCCCAGAGGTTCTATCTGGAGCCCCAGAAGCTTGGGGTCAGTCTGTCCCTTGGGGCACCTGGTTAATCCACGTGCCCCGAGGCATGACTTTAGCCTGGTGGGTTAGATTCTTCCCTTCCTCCTCTTTCTGTTCATCCGTGTACTCCTCAGAAGTTGCCTTCTGAGCTGGGCATGCTGGGCACCTTAGGAATCATTTCCCAGAAAAGAAATTCAGAATGCCAAGCATCCTATTGTTAATGGTAGTTATCTGGGGTTAGAGAAGATTCTAACTTACATATTTTATACATTAAATCTTTTTTTTAAATCACGCATTACTTGGATAATAAAAATTAATCAAGTTTTCCTTTGTCCTTCTTTCAATATAAAAGTCAGTCAACTTTCATAAAGGTAAAAGTCGTTGAGATGGGAGTGTGCGGGAGTGGGAGGGTGTGCGTCGGGGTCCGACCTGCTGTCGTGGCCTCAGGGCCCAGGCCTGGGGGGGCCTGTGGGGGGCAGCCTCAGGCCGTGACAACTTTCTGTTGTGTTCTAGAGGCTGGTCCTGACAGACGGTCTGTGGCTCCTGCCTGAGGCACCTCGGACTCAAAGCTGTTGGTTGCCAAACTCTGCAAAGGGCCACCAGGGCCTGGGGACTGACATCGTCAACAGAGATACGGACTGAGCCAGGTAACAGATAAGACTCCAGGTTTCTGTCTCAGTCAGTGACTTGGTGGATGACCCCCGACCTTGGGCAACCTCTCTTGGTCCCAGTTTCTCTTGAACAACCTGGGAAAACGATGAACCGGGGCTTCCCTGTATAGGAGTCTGCTGATTTACACTCAGAGGGATACACCAGTTTCCTAGTGCCCATTGCAGCCACGTGAACATGTCCACAGATACACAAGAGTGCAGGCAGACAGACACACACACACACCTACAGATCCACAGACATGCACACCCCAGTGTCACACACAGAAAGCATCCAGGTATACACGACTCCTGCAGAGCCACGGGCCGCTGGCCGAAGCACGTCCCCCAGTACGCGGTTAGGCAGCATGGTCCCAGAGAGTCGTTCATCGTTCCCTTCTTGGAACTCTCGTAGTGGGAAGAAGGTTGATGGCGGCTCTGGAAGGCGCAGACAGCATCTGCTTCAGGGGGGCTTCCTTCTTCTGAGACACGGAGCAGGTGGGGCGCTTTGTGTAAGGCAGCACCAGCAGCGACGGTCCCTGGAGAAAACCGAGGTCACCTCACTCTGCTTCCGGTGCGAAGGCTGGGTGTTGAGTGCCTTGCCTGGCGTTGGACCGTACACCCGAAGGAGGAAAACCCAGAGCCGTTGCTTCCTAGCTGTGTGACGTTTTGCTAGAGACTTAGCCTCTCTGTGTTTTCACACCCTCGTCTATAAAATGCGGGTGAAAAAATGGTACCTGCCTCATAGGAGTGGCCGACATGTGGCAAGCACTGCGTAAGATTATTATTGTTGTCATCTGGTTCTTATGAGAAAGCTGGAGCCTGGGCTCTCACTGGGCTCTTTTTGATCAAAGAAAGGTTGTGGGCCCTTTCCTTGATCAAAAAAGATTAAAAATTATGTTTTATGACTGCATGGATATAAAGACTAATATAACCAGTGTAAGCTATATTCACTTTGTTCCTGCTGATTTGAAAAGAAACCAAACATTTTTGTGGGCCCTACAGGTATCGTGGGCTCCAGGCATGGTGTCCACCATACGGATGGACAGTCAGTGGCTGTGGCTGGTCCTCACATCAGGTTACGCGCGGCTGAGAGAGACCTGGGGGATGTTTGTCGGATCATCGGGAGCACCTTCCTGGGCCCTGGCGGTACCTTTAGCGGTGCCCTGGGGCAGCTGGGTAGAAAACTGGGTTTTTACAAGAGGCAGCAACTGGGCAGAGGTGGGAGCTGCCCCTGGGTGAGCATCAGCACCCCCTGCCCCGCCCGGTGCAGGGAGCAGTGGGCCCGAGGACGTCCTCACTGTGGGGCTCAAACTGCCGAAGCCATAATGGTGACGCGTGGCTGGCTGAGCTGATTGCCTGGCTATGGTGCCCGAGACTGAAGCAGCAGCCCCAGCAGGGAAGGCTGGTGTGTATCTTCAGAGGGGAGCGGTGGGGGAGGGGACTTCCTGTAATTGGAGGGGTTGGGCTTGGCTTGAGTACTTGAAGATGCGACGCTTGTTTGGCTGGACTGGGAAGCACGGACATGCCACATATACAGAGGCCGTCCATCCATCCATTCATTCATTCACTCACTTACTCCTCCCACGTTTGCTGAGCACCTCCTCTGTGTGGGGCCTGTGCTGGAGCCGGGACTGCAGAGACACTGACACCCTGTTCGCTCCCTGGAGCTCCCTGCTGGGCAGGGTGGTGAGCATGCTTTGGAGCGTCTCTGAACAAGGAGAAGTTAGGCTGAGGGGGTGCGGGCTGGAAAGGATTCCTTGTCTACCCATTCCAGAATGGACCGAGGGCTTGAGAGGGTGAGGAGGCCAACATCCCATGCCCATTCCGCCGAACCTTGTGTTTTCCAGGGCTGGAGAGGGGCCTTCGAGGACCTGGGACCTCGAAGTCCCCCAGCTGCTCATGGTCAGGCTGCCATGTAGAAAGAACCTTGGTGACTTGGTGGAGGCTGGGCTCAGGGGACGGACAACCTCCGAGAAGCAATGCCAAGGCTGCGGGGGGTGGGGACAGTGAGGGCCTGAAAAACAGCAGGTGCCACTGTCCGGGGCCCCTATCTGCTAATTGCTGGGGAAGGACTCTCAGGTGGCAGCTGTTACATCTCAGGTGACGTCTGCCAAAGGGGGCTGGGCTGGGGGCTGGCAGGTTTTCCATAAAACCAGATGGAGGTAGTAGGGGTTCAGAGACGGCGTGGGAGCTGAGTGAGGGGTTTGGAGGCCAGGACTCAATGTCGGGGGTGGCGGGAGGCTTACTGAGAAGAGCGGACGGGGTGAGGGTTTTAAGGAGCTGTCTCCCTTCTCACTCTTGGTTTCTGAATCACTTTGGGCCTCTTCATTCTTCAACCCGTGGCCCCTGCCCTGCCTGGGACCTTGTGCGGACCAGGCCTAGAGCCCTCTCCCAGCTGAGGCCTGCTGGTCGGGGGCCCCAGCATGGGGCAGCTGGCCTGTCTCTCACATGCCGGGGGCTCTGGGCCCACGGGCATCGCCGGCGGGCTGGGCGGGGTGTGCGCAGCTTGAATGAATTCAATCCCTTCACTGTCGGGATCCTCTGTCTGACACGCTAGGAACCCAATGTTCTCGGAGGGCCATTGAAAGGCAGTGCTTAAACTAACATTCAGCGTTAATGGTGGTGGCATCAGGTGGCATGTGGGCGTGGCATTCCCCAGGAAATCCACTTCAAGGACGCAGCGGTCCCCAGGCCAACTCGTCCTGTCACAATCTGGAAGAGACTTCAGCCTAGGCAGAGGACTTCCTGGCTTCTGCAGTACCACCCACGTCCACCTGGGGGCAGTAACGCCCACCCTAAGCCCATATTCCAGGGCCCCAACGTTGCACCTGGGAGAGAAGGTGCTCCACCTGGAAACCACAGGGCTGGGAAGGCCTTGGGGACCTAGCCCATCCTCGCCTCGAACAGGTCGGGAGACAGACCTAGTGAGAGAGCGACCTGTTCAAAGCCACACAGGGAGTACCCTGGCTCGCTCTTCATCACGCCGCCGCAGCCGCCTGTGTGGTGGCGGTGACTTGGGGTACCTTTCTGTGTGTGGGTCTTGCGTGGGTGGGGGCTCCGGAGTACATTGATGCAGAACACACATGGTCTCGGTGCCCCTTCCGGCAACCGCGCTGTGCACAGCCGCCCCATGGACACACACGTCCCCTCTGAACTGGCTGGGGGCGGGGCTGAGCTTCAGGGGCCCCGGCCCGTGTGCCTCTGGGAGACTTTCTGGGTCTCCTTGTTCTTACCCGGGAAAGAAACAGCACCCCTGTCAGGGACCAGTTGTGAGGATGAAACGAATTAATGTAAATAAAGAGCTTAGACTAGGGCCTGGTAATAGTGGGTGGACACCAAACTCGACCTCTCCCATTAGGAAGAGTCCCTTCTTCTGGCTTCTGAGACGACACGACACGGGAGCCTCCTGAGCAAGGGCTGCCCTCGCACCCAGGGGACCTCAGTCTGTTCCCCCTCTGCACCAACCGACAAGAACCACACACACCTAAGAATATAGAATGTTTATCTTATTTTAGTTAAAAAAAATAATCGTACCACCAAATGAAGAAGTAGCTTTTTGGGGGAGGAGGGGAGTGAGAAGAGAGGAAGAAAAAAAAAAGCAATAAGCCAAAAAAAGAACTCTTTATATTCATCTGTATAAACGCATGGCTAAGGCAAACGCAATCCAGGGCCAAGGCTGCTGCACGGGGGTCAGTACCTCCTAATCTCTGCAGATTCTAAGGCCAAGAAAATAAACCTCTGCAAGTCCAATGGGAGTCTCATGGACTCTTGGGGCATTTTACTAAAATAAAGTTATCGAGTTTAAAAAGCAGTGACGCTGTCACGACACACTGGAAGTTGCATAACTGTGGCCTCGATGGCCACTGTTTGGACTGCATGATGGGTAGTTTCACGACACAACAACAGACACACAGACACGCACACACGTGAGCAAGCACATGGGAGCTGTGCAGGACCCGGCCGGTGGCACAGGGAGGGCTGGGGTCCCCATGCTTCCTCGGGGGGTGGGTGTGACGGGATAGGTCCCGTCGCTGGTGACAAGGCGATTAATGTCACTCTGGGGAAGGATAGTGTGAAAGGGTGGAGGGAGGTCCCCTGGTCCCCACTGCTTGGTCCACGCAAGCTTCTTAAAGCACTTCTTGGGCGCCTCCTGGAGAATGGAGACCGTGCCGGTCTCCGTCCCTGGGAGGGGCCAACCCCTCCTCCCCACGCTGCTCTCTGCAGAGCCCCTGGGACCCTCAGGTTGTCCCTGGGGAACTAGGGAGCGGTGTTTCTGCCCCCAGAGCCTTCCCTGCCCATGACCCAAAGCTTGGCTGGGAAAGTGTGGGCTCGTGAGGTAGATTGACACAGCTGTCCCTTCACCCTGCCTGGCTGGGTCCCAGGGGCTCGGGTCCCTTCATAAAAATAGAAGCCTCTCCCCGGCCCCTCGACTCCAGCAGGGAGGGACGGGGCTGGGGAACAGGTGCGGGGGTGGAGCTCCCTCGTGCCTCCGATCTGCTCCTTAGGTCCCACTCTACGGAGCCAGCCGCAGTTCGTGCCATCTGCCACTCCCCCAGCCTAGGAAGGGGCTGAGGGCCTCTGGGTGGGGGAGGGGTGACAGGGAGAGGCATGAGGAAGAGAGGGGGCGCGTGGTGGGCAGGCTCACGGGCAGAGCAGCGCGGGAGCAGGCAGGGGACAGCCAGGGGTGCGAGAGGGACTCAGGGACGCCAGGGAGCTCTGGGCCAGGCAGGGAGCCAGCGCTGGGGTCACAGCCTCAGGAGCAGCGGTGGGGGCAGGGAGAGGCCAGGCCACCTCTGTGAGACCCCTCGACTGGCTGCAATCACAGACGTTTGTAGGGCTTTTCAGCATGGTCCCTTCAGACAGAGCCGAGGACTCAGGCTGGGCCTCCAGTTTGCCCGCCCTCACCCACCCGCGCCGGCTGGACTGGGCTCCGGGCCTGGGCCTGGGCCTGGGCCAGGCGGTCGGGCCGCAGCCCCTCGCTACTTGAAGGTGGACTGCAGCTCCTTGAAGGCTGCCTTCCGCTGCTTCATCTCCTCTGCCTGCTTCTTCCTCTCCTCCTGCTCCGCCTTGATTTCCTCTTCGAAGCGGCTGGACACGTTGATGGCCTGGACCTAGGGTGGCGGGAAGGTGGCTCAGGGCTGGAGGGGCCCTCCCAGCAAGGCCTACACCTCTCCCTCTCACTCACTCCAACCTTGGTCCGGGCTCCACCCCTAGAGCCTCAGTGTCTCCATTTGGAGCCCAATGCGCTGTAACTCTTGACCTCAGGGATTCGTTGAAAGAGATAACACACGTCCAGTGGCTGCTGCATAGCACAGCCCTGTAATGTGGGAACTTCTGATGTTGCATCCTTAACTTGTTTCCTGTCCAGGGGGGCCAGGCTGCACCCTGGTCCCACTGACGAACCCTGAAACATCCCCTCAACCCTAGGAGCCCGAAGAAGGTGGGACGTGGCCTTTGGAAGGAATGTTCTTCGCTAACAAAGGAAGAGGGAGAAAGAAGAAAAGGTGGGTACCCTGGAACCCTAGGAGGGCAGGACCCAGGCTCCACACTGTCCCCTCCACCTAAGCGTGTGCTGAAAGGGGAGGGTGCTGTACATGCAGGTGGCCACTAGGAGGCGCCACACTTCAGGCTGGGGAGGGCGCGGGTTGTGTCTCCAAGAGGCCCCAAGAACCACCGCGTTTCTGGGCTGGCTCTGCTATTTCTGGGTGTACGCTTTAAGGCCTAGTCTTTTGAATTAGTGGCCCTTTTCAAGAGCACACACCCTTTATACACCCCAGGGGAAGGGAGGGCAACGGGTGACCAGAAAGGATCACAGACTGGATGGGAAGAGGCGGAAGCCAAGGAGCACCATGGGCCTTGCCCAGCCCAGCCTGGGCATCAGCCCCCCACCTCCTGTCTGCAGCCTCAGCGGGGGCAGCAAGGGTTGGTGCTGACCTTCGCGCTACCCAGGCTCCTGTGATACCCCCACCGTTCCCATCCTTGAGCCAGGGCCAGGGAACTCTGCCCTGGGCTGTGCACATCCTCCTATTCCTCACCTTGGCTTCAAAGAAGCTCTTGGCCCCCTTGACGCCCTCGGTGGAGACGTCGATCTCGGAGAGCCGGGCCAGCACGTGCAGCCCGCTGTCCTCCTGCAGCTCCCCGGCCGCCGCCTTGCGGAAAATCAGGAGGAACTGCAGCCGGGAGAAAAAGAGGGGGTGTCAGGGTGAGAGGGAACAGCCCGCGTCCCTGGCTGCACCCAGACCCAGCCCGGCCTCCTTGGGGAAAAAGGAGGTGTTGCCCACAGGCCAGAGATTGGGTTCTCCTTCCCCTCTTTGGGCTCGGTCTTCCCATCTGTACAACGGGAGACTAGGGGACCCATCTCCTGCCCTCCCAGGGTCTGGGGCTACGGCAAGCCTGCTTGGTCCACACTCAACTCCCATCAAGGGTCTTGATGACACGGCCTCGATTTATCTCATTCTCCAAACTAATTCACTCTAAATTCCATTAACTGAGTCTTAAGGTACAGGATTGTGCCCGTTTTACAGAATGAGGAAGGTTCAGGGGTAAGAACATCCTACACTGGCTCTCAGCACCAGAAAACGACGGAAGGATCTGAACCCTTGTTTTGACTCCAAACCCTTCTGCTGCGGTGCCCGCACCCTTCTCCTGCCTGGCCTCCTCTGCGCTTCCTGCCAGTTCTCTCCGGAGGGGCCGCCCCTGGCATTTAACCCCACGCCGCCTGGGGCCGGTCCTGCTGAGAGCCTGCTTCTTCCTCCGCATAGCAGGCTTGCCCATGGACCTGTCTCAGAGCGGGGACTGAGTGAGGCCCGAGGGCGAAGTCCCCCAGTGCTCAGCTCCTCTGGAACCCACAGTGCATTTCACTCCATCCGCCTGTCCCCCTCTCCTCGTGAGCCCCAGCATCGTGTCATTTCCCTCTGGCTTCTCCCACTCTGCACCTCAGGACCCTTGGAGCACAGTGCCTTCCACTGCACTGCCAGCGCCCACCCAGGGTCCACGGCCTGGCAGTGGCAGATCGGAGTCACTGCATGAAGCCATTCTCACTTAAGGACAATTCCCCGTGTTCAAGGCCAATGTTGCCCAATGATAAAGGAGGGTTAGCCTCACCTCCCGGAAGCTGAGCTTGCTGTCGAAGTCCTCGTCCACCTCCTTGATCATGTTTTTCAGGCCCAGGTGGGTCTGAGGGGCTCCGAGTTTCTCCATCATGAGCTTTAGTTCCATCAGGTCAATGAAGCCGTCCCGGCCAGCGTCGTACCTGCGGGCACAAGGAGGGAGGCCTAAGGACATCCTGGCACCTCATATTGGACTAGTCGGAGTGGTCACAAGCCAGAGTACAAGGGTTCAAAGGGCACCTCCCACCAACATGTCACCCTAGCACATCTGAAAGGGACCTCAGCCCAGGCGGAGTCCCGATCTGTGGCCCAACTACTGCTTGGTTACCTCTGGTGCTGGGGAACTCACCACATGGCCTGGTAGCCTCCTACGTGCTAACAGCACTGCTGCAAAGGAAGCTGAAACCATAGCCTCCCTGTAGTGAATGTGACAGGGACAAGCTGAGAGGAAAAAAAACTCAAAAACCACAGGGGTACGGATTGGGAAGGTGGGCTCTGACGTCAGCACCCACTGACCACCTCCAGGGACATCGCTGCCCCCCATTGGGAGGGAGGCAGAAGGTACCACGTGTCACAGAGCAGGGCCCAGCGGTCACAGGAGGGAGGGCCGCTCTTAGCTTTCCCGAAGGCGGCTGGGGCGTGTTGAGGGAGCTTGCTGTGCAGAGGGGATAAAGCTGGTGGCTGCAAAGGCCTGGGACAGCAATGGGGCGGTGACAGTGTCTCTGCCCCTGCGCATTGCAGGTTTCTTTCTTTCTACCGCCAACAGCCTGGCAGAGACAGGGATGGGCTGGGGGTGGACTCCACACATCTCTCTCAAAGACCTCCCCGAGGTAAGGGCTCGGCCAGAGCTGGCCTCCCGACCCTGACCCCCGGCCGGGCCCTCGCATCGGGCTAAGCAGACACCTGCCTGCCGGCCTCCTGGTGGGCTTGCGTGTGGTCTCAAGGCTGCACAACCGGGCCTTCCGAGCCTGAAGAAAGCTCGTGCAGTCCCCGAGGCCTCACGCTGGCTGGGTGAGGGCAATGGGACAGGGGCTGAGTTCCAGACACCTATGCCCTGGAGACCAGAGTTCTCCAGGAAACACACATCTCACTCCCCTGCCCTTCCTGTCATACATGAGCTTTGCATGACTGGATATCTAACAGCAACCACTTTTGGATGTCTGTCCTCATGCCAGGACTTTACATACTTTATCTTACTAAACCTCACAATAACCTTACTTTATAATGGAGGCTCAGAGAAGCTCAGTGACCTGCTCAAGGTCCCACAGCAGTAGAGGATGGAGCTGGGCCTTGCCACCCCCCATCTGTCGGGCTCATAAGCCTGCCCATTTGCTCTGTGCCCAGCGCCACCCCCCTGCCCCAGGCCCTGGGGCTGCCAGCAGAACGGAGACGGCTGCCTGGAGCACTGAGCGGAGCATTTGTGCAAGGGGTATAAATAGTTCATGGGCAAGTGAGTCAGTGGCTGGAGATGATGCAGTCACTGGGAACCCTGCAGGGAGCACAGGATCCCGCAGCCTTCTTCCCTACCACGTGAGAGGGCTGGAGGGGGAGCCTGCGGGCCAGCGGTCCCTGTGGGCAGTGGCCATAGCTGGACTGGAAGCTGATGGAGGGGAATGTGGTAGGGGGTTGTGGGACCCCAGAGGGTCAGGCCAGCCTTGATCCCGTGGTCCAGGCTCCACTTAGAGCAGGGGAAGCCCTGTGTGGGGCAGGGCAGGGCCCCTCCTTTCACCTCTGGGGCCTGCCTGCCAGTTGGTGAGGGGCCGGGGCCGGGGGCTGCTGCCTGGTCCGTAGCAACAGGTCTTGGCGCACCCCCGTGGAGAGCAGCCTGGCGAGGGAGTCCGTCTTTCTGGGGACAGACACAGGGACTCCCATCCTCAGTGCCCCTCGGGAAAACAGAGTGTCTTCCACTTCTGAACTTGGGTTCCAGTGAAGGTCAGCAACGACATGCCAGGGCTGGAGCAGGTGACCTGGGTCCCAGTCGCCTGTGCAATTTGAGCGTCCAGCCAAGGCTGAGACCCCCCTGGCATGAAGGTGACAGTCACAGGACCCAGTTCATACATGCCAAGCACTTAGCACAGCACTGGGCACAGGGAGCTGGCTCCAGAAATGGCGGCTGCCAGCACTATAATGATATGCAGTTAACTTTCTCAAGCTCCTGCTACGTGCTAGGCATTTTCTCCTTACGACCCTTGCACTCAGCAATCCTGGGAGGTCAGTAGCATGTCTGCATGTGACTGACGAGGGAACGAGGCTTGCAGAGAGGGCACTAGCCCCGTAACCAGCGGGCCAGGGATCCGGACGCCCATCCCTACTATTCCCACACTCCACTCTCTCCGCCGCCCCACCCTCCTCTCCTGAGCTCAGCTTTATTTACTGCTCAAGTGGCTGGGTTTCCTCCCGCAGCCCAGGGTGGCTCAGTTTCAGAGGAAGTGCAGATAAAATGTCCAAACTTGGACGAAAAGTTGGGCTCTGGATTTCTTGATCTCTGGCAGCTCCAGGGCCTGGCTGGGCCGTGGCCTAAGCCGCGGCTTGAACCGCTGCCTGCCTCAATCAAGGGATGATCAATTACTGGGTCTGAGCTCCATCCTGGGCCGGCTCCAGCCCCCAGGGGGGCAATGCGGGGCAGGCCGCAGTGCCAGGGGATCAATAGCCAAGGTGCGGGGGCGATGGAAGAAGTCAGGGAGAGGCCAGGTGCTGGGCTGGGAATTCGGCCCCAGAGCTGACACTGGAGAAGGCTGTTCCCTCGAGACAACCCCTCCCCCGCCCCCCACTATGTGCCAGGGGCTCTGATGGGGGCGGGCTCCGGACCACAGGGCCAGCCAAGTCCTGGGGATAACCTGAAGGTGTAACCTTTGAAGTTTGTGATGACATCAATTCTGTTGAGACTGGCCTGGGTCGGAGCCTCAGATCTGCCACCTGCTGGTTGGGTGTGACCCTGGTCCAATGACCTGCCCCCACAAACCTCAATTTTCCCATGTACATCATGGATGTCAAAGGACCCAGGTCAGGATCAAGGATTAATAGAGATCCTTAGCATGGTCCTGGCCCACAGTAAGCACTTAACACGTACTACCTATAGTAATAGAAGTAAATGTTGTTACTTTCTCCACCTCTGGCATTAAAGATTAGATGAGGTTAGCTATAAAATGCCTAGCACACAGGAGGTGCTTAAAAGCTGCTAATTTCATTATCAGTAACAGCGGCTATTGAGAACTTTTTGTGTGCCGGATACTACTAAGTCCTTTGCACATAACAGTGACAACAGTAATAAAAAATACACCAGTTTCTCTCCTGGTCACCAGTCCTGAGGGCGCATGGCTGAGCCCACATGATTGCTATAGTCTGGCCGGGAGGCAGGGAGTGGCCCAGACCACCCAGGGGTCCCTCCAGCACCTCGCCCTCCTCTGAAGGTCCCACTACTTCCCCTATTAGGCCTGATTCAGAGGCCCTGCCACTTGTGGGGGGTGGGGAAAGATGGCAGGACAGAGCCTTTCACTCTCTTGCTGGGCAGAGGGAGAGAGAAGCCTTGGCCCCAGGTTACTCTCCTGTCTTTCCCAGCAAGCAGGGAAGTGACAAAGTGGCAGGCTGCCCCTGTGTCACCAGCAGGTGGATGCCTGGTAACACAGGGGAGTGACGCTGGGGAACAGGCATATTCCAGCCTGGGGAGACCCCCCTCCATCCGCCCTCTCCCTGAGCTGGAACTGAGGCGGCAGGTGGCTCAGAGGATCCCGGGGAAGAGTTGGCACGTGAAAGCTGCCCGGACAGCCTGGTCTATCTCCTTCAAGCTATGTGGGCACACTGGGGCCCAGAGCGGGCAGCCACCAGCTCATGGTCACACTGTCGGCAGACCACAAGATTCCGACATCTTTCCGCGCTGCCTCTTCTTCTGGGTCCCATGGAGGGTCCCGAATTCTCAAACTCGCAGGGCAGGGGAGGCCAGGCTGAGAGCCTGGCTTGGGGCCTGCCTGGGAGCTCAGCGCTTTTCTCCAGCACCTGGCCCGGTGCCCACATTCCTACCCGCCTCCCCCTGAATAGTTCTCAACAGGGAGGGCTCGGCAGCTGCCGCCCCGGATGCTGGCAACAAAATCCACTCCGCCCTGCCCTGCCCCCCCCCCCCCCCCCCCGCCCCATCCGTCCTTGAAAGTGGAGCAGCCGGCCGCCACCCAGGCAGGCTTTGCTCTTTGGGAAAAGCAGGTCCCCCCAGCTGGCAGCTCCTCCTCCCACTGGCTTTGATAACCAGGAGCCATGGGGGCGGCAGTGGCTGGCTCCTACAGTGGCCAGGACTGTCCCCATTTCATAAGAATATTATTAGTGCCTACTCTTTGCTGAGCACTTACTAAGTGTCCGGCACTGGGCAAGTGCTTCACATCAGATCCTCATAAGAATTCTGTGACGTGGGAATAAACACCCCCATAACACAGACAAGGAGGCTGAGGCTCAGGGAGGAAGGGACTTGGCCGAGGCCACGGTTGGCAAGGACATAGCTGGGATCCGATCCCAGGCGGACGCGAACGTACACTTTTAACTACTATGCTCTGCCCAGATGCCCACAGACCCTGCGCAGGGAACCTCGGCTGGGCAGGGGGACTACTGGAGGCTACCTTATTTAGCCATTCGTGAGGGTCAGATTCCAAATGCAGTTTCCTGCTTGGTGTCTTAAATACTGCTGAGGATGGGGAGCTCACTGCTCCCCTCAGGCAGCCCATTTTGGCTTCGGAACTGTCCAGTAGGAAGCGGATCCTCATACACGACCCTCCCCACCTGCCAGCTGCGCCCGCAGCCTGCTGGCGGAATGCGGAGTTGTCACCGCGGCCGCACACGGGAGTCCTGTTCTCTCCCTCTGATTCCCTTCCTAGGCCTTTGTTGATGGCCTCTGCCCACGGGAGTCCCCAGGAGGACAGGCAGCTGGAGATGTGGAACTTAGGGACCAAGGGGCCCCCCAGGCCCACCTGGCTTTGGTCTCGGCATTCACAGACCTTGGTCCTCCCCCATTCTGTCTGGGGGGGGGGGGAGGTCAGGAGCTCCTAGGCCTCTACACTTTGTCCTGTGGAATGGGAAGGCGGGTCCCTTGGGGCAGGAATGTTCTGGAAGACAGAATTCTGGCCTTGCTAGCTGTTACAGCCAGCATGGCTCTGCCTGCCGC